AGCGATGAATGGTCGAAACATTCGAAATAATTCTTGAAATCACACTGGAAGCTTGCGTCATACATTGTCTCACTTCCAGCTCATCGCTGGGTGGTGCATGTAAATCCCATTCCTACGTTGCCTTGTGTGGTGCGACCTCCATCTATTTGGAAAAGAAACACGCCAATGGGTGGCTCCTTTGGATGCCTTCGTCGAATTTAACTTGCACTCGTGAGTTCGGCGCTTGTACATAACTATGGTGGCCTTTTTCGTGAACCCTCACTGGCCCGCCTTCCGGCTTCCACTCTGGCTCTTACAGTATCGGGATGGGGAGCGGGCGGACGGCTCACGCCAAGGGCAGGATGTCACTGAAAAGCGGCACCCTCGTCGAGGTTTGAGGTCCCGGCCATGGGCAAAGCTAGATGCGAAGGACCTGGCAGCTGCAAAGGAGAGGAGCGCTGACCAGCGGAGTGCATGGCGGACGTGCTGACGCAGCCTGGGCGCGGCTGCGGCACTTTTTTTCCACTGCCATCAGGGTCATGCGGGTGCCGGGCCCAGCGCAGTCGGCCAGCACCAACAGTGCGGAAGCCGGCGGGCTGCAGTCCTGCTGCGGTTGGGCCGCAGTTTCAAACACAGCCACTTGCACCGCGACGGACAACAACCCACACCACCGAGCGCCAAGCCGCTCGCAGCACTGCGGCACACAGCAGCCGGGGCGCAGTAGAGCCACGCGTCAAGGTCCGCAGGAAGACGCGGGCCTGGTCATTCCAGCGCCCGCCAACCTCGTGTCCGAAGACTATCAGGCGCTGGGGCCCGGGCCCACACAGCTCAGGGTACACGGACTGCTTCCGGCGCTCGCCATGGTGCAGCGAAGCCCCATCTAAGCAGGAGGCCATTGGCGATGCCGCTGGAACGGAGATGCCCACTTCGTGCGAGAACCGCTCCGTGTGCGAGCGCTGTTCACGCCGACCGTGCTGACATGCAGTGCTTTGCTGCTCTCCTGACACTTGCGGAGGCCGTTGCTTGCTGTTGCCTGAGCGCAATTGGTCCTGCAACATGGGGGGCTCGGGTTGCGCAAAGCTAGTCGACTGGCGCCCGCGGCCTATTGGGCATCCTGGGGCGCCCTTTGGCGTTACCTCGGGATTGCGCGACCTCATTGTCAAGCTCGATTCTATGCCTGGGCGGTCAACTTTCGGCCTCGAGGTTTCTCTCGAGGTTTCCCGGGAATGCAGCGCGAAGCGTCTAGGGCAGTTGATGACTTCTGTCGGATGTCCTTGCTCAGCGAGCTCGAAAAAGCATCGGTCGCGCTGCTGGATTCGCAGTCTGCTCGCGTAGTGTTCTCTTGCCCGGCTCAAGGCAAGGTGAACTGCAGCTTGAGTCGTCGCTCTTCCGTGTTTTGCTTCTGCGCCCTCTTCGCCTGCCGCTTTCTCTGGCTGCAGCTGCCCGTATATGCCGTTGGCACCTCGATGACGTCGGGGTTCACATCGCCGCATGCCGCCGGTCCGGCATGCTCCGCTGGCGCTCGAGCGTGCGGCCACCGGCGTCTGTAAGAGGCCAGGGCAACAGTGTGGTGACGAGCTATCGAAGTCCTCGTCAGGCACACCGGGGGCACACCGGTGGCGTGTGGGCCAGCCACTTTTGTGGCACAACCTGCCCCTCGAGTGTTTTTGTCCCCATATTCGTCCACCCGCCGCCGTCCGGTATCGTCCGGTCCTGGGCCACAGCGGAACACCATGCAGAAGTGCGCACGCGTACGTGTTCATCGGTGTGGTTTGCGGCGTCCTCGACGTCAGCTGGGGAATCTGGGGATGCCTCCATGGCCTGGTTGTATAGCATCTCGCGGATCTCACAGTATCAGTAGGCCCAGTGAAGGACAGCTAGTGATGCGGGAGCCCCCCCGCGGGTAAAAGGCCAGAACGAGACTCTCCCACGTCTCAGCTCATATGTCGGAGATGCCAGAAAAGTGGCTGCGCCAAATCACGCAAGGGAGTGGATTCCGACGAGAAACTACACTCACCTGAGAGCCGCAAAGCCTCAAAATGACACTGATCTCATTGGGTTGAGGATTTTGGGTTGAGGGCTTTGCGATTTGGTGTACGTCGCATTTGAAACCCGCTGCTGTCGTTGTTCTTGGCATTTACACCCAGGATTCTGGAAGAAGCAAAGCAAAATACAAGCCAGCAGCTCTCTTAGGCAGCGTCTGTCCATTTTCAACAGATGCACAGCTTCTCACAGGACGACCACAGTTAAAAATGTTCTGCGAGCAAATGCCTTCCTCGGCATCCAGAGCACAGGACCCCTGACGCATCGCTTCGAGGCTCTCTACAATGACTCTACAGGCACAGAAGCAGGCCTGGACTCAGACTAGTCCTTCAGACTTTTTGTAGGGGTGGTGTGGGAACCCTTATAAAGACTGACCTGGTGTACATGCATGCACGTAGACAGCGGATAATAGATTGCACTGCTGTCACCACCTAGTGCAGCGGGTCGGCCAAGTGATCACGGATCAAAAAAAAACCGTCGTCAGCATGCACAACAGGAAGCTGCACTGCTTCACTTCAGCTCATCTGTGCCCAGCCGCCTTGCAACAGGAGCCCACACATTCAACGGAACCACCCATCCATCAACCTGGATTGTACCTGCAATGACACTGCGTACCGAACGTCGACACGCCTTAGTGAGCACGCAACAACTGTAACCATTGCGCCAACTACGCCGAAGAAGATAGGGTCTGAAAGATATCAGCATCTGAAAGACATCCTGCAGCTGATCTGTGGACATAAAACCCAAAGTGTCCAATGTGACCACAGATCACATGGCTTGATTATATCAAGCATTCCTGATCCGTTGCCTTGTGAGGGTTTCACGGTTCGAGGGATCTGGGGCTTTGGGGTTGAGGCTTGGGTTGTGAGAAAAAGGTCTTCCAAGCGTGCAGCTCCGGTTGTTTCTCTGAGGAGTCGTCGCTGGGGGGAGGGGAGAGCTCTCTAAGGAACAGCGCCCCCTGCATGGACAAGGCCTCTGCATACTGCTCCCTGCCTTCCGGATCCTTCTGGCACCAGCAAGATCCTGAAACCGCGCCTGGCGCGGTTTAGGGTTTAGGGTTTATGGGGTTTAGGGTTTAGGGTTTATGGGGGTTAGGGCTTAGGGGGTTTAGGGGGTTTAGGGGGTTTAGGGGGTTTAGGGGGTTTAGGGGGTTTAGGGGGTTTAGGGGGTTTAGGGGGTTTAGGGGGTTTAGGGGGTTTAGGGGGTTTAGGGGGTTTAGGGTTTTTGGGCTTAAGGGTAGTGAGGGTCTTGGAGAGCTAGGGGGTGGCAGCAAACGACTTCAGGTTTTTGGGGGCCAACCCTCAGTCCACGCCATCAAGCCCAAAGACCCTACCTTGTTTCTAGGCCACCTGCGAGTCCTATAAGTGGTTTCATACTGGGAAAACTGGTTGGGATTCAGGGTGAGGTTGAAGGCATCTTTCTGGGATCTGGTTCAGATTGCGGGCATCCCCACACTGCCCACCCCACCCCCCCAAGGATGGCAGCTTTGACACCAGATCCTGGGCCTCATCCCGGGCAGCTCTTGACCGGCGCCAGGCTGCTGCATGGCGCGCCGGATGAAAAACTTTCAGCTTCTTTGTCTGCTTTCTGCGGTTGAGTCTGTTTTTTTTGTGGGCGTTGGAGTGTTGGGTGTGGACTGCGAAGTTTTTAGATTTGGTCGTGTTTAGCCTTTGGGGAAATTCGGAGTCTCCTAGCTCAGAGTCAGCCCCAGAAGCGTTCTGAAACCAAGCTTTTGGGAGGAGGCGTTGGTTCTCGGTTGCTCAGAGGTCCAGATAGATGGTGCTGTTTGACTTAAACGTGCTTAGGGGGGAGTGGGGGAACGAACATAGTTACCATTATAGGGGATTAGATAGGAATTATGACTGAAGCTCTCAATTACGCACCCGGGTAAGTGCTCAGCTTGCTCAAGCCAAAAAAAGGTCCCTGCTTAGGATCCTACTTAACTGCTATACAGCATCCGGCCTAGCAACAGCCTTGAGGATGTGCGCCCACGACTTGAAATATGAGCCTTTCCCCGATAGGCTTTACATGCAGCTGTTTGAAGAAAGCACGACAGCGGGACCTGTTTGTACAAGGCGGAGGCGACTTTGTTCCCAATGTTGTCTGGCTGATGGCAATGCCCCTTCCCTGCCTGTTCTTCCAGCAAGCTCCTTGCCAGGTCGCGTACCCCCATCATGAAAGCACCATCAACAACAAGCGTCACGCAAGCCTACTCGAGAGCATACACGAGCCCATGTCGCACAGCTGTTGCAAAGCTCCAGCAGCAGGCTACATGAGCCATGGTCTAAACTCCGTATGGGTGGATAGATGGAGATTATATAGGGATCCTATTACAAGACGTACTAAGGGGGATACCAGGAGTTTAGACTATAGCTCATATGAACATCTCGTTTCTTCCTGCTGATGACAGCGACATGCCAGCACCAACATCTTGAGCGTTCATACTCAGACAGACCTCCAACCGAGGTTCAAAACGTTCATGCTCAAACTCTGCCGGGGGGGGTGATATGAAGATGGCAGATATGATCGCGATGCTTCTCAGGCTTCAAACCTACACCACATCAGGAAGCTTCTGCCAGCTTCAACATCCTACCACGTGAGGGGCTCCTCTACCCTCTGGATCCGCAACTATGCAGGAACATTCACAAAGATCGAAAAGGACGTTGCCAATTCAAAACTGGAGTGTTCAAACTGGCCATTTTTCTTAGCACATTGGCTCGAGCACAAAGAGGGCAGCTTGTCTTTGACCCATAGCGGGCTTGCAGAAGCGCCAACACTCAAACAGCTTGTAGTGTTCTCTTGCGTCCCCATGCGTGATACCTAGCCGCTGGGATAGGGACAGAAGACAGATAGGCGAGCACTTCGAGATCTGAGTGTAGCACTTTATCCCTCTTCGTACATCAACACAGAAAGGCCTGACTACAAAACCGCGGCTTGAATTCTGTCACTTACGCCACTGCATACTGCATCCCTCTTCATCATTTTGCAAAGCAGTTCTCCTTCACGCTGCAGTCGATGAAGCTCTGCGTAGCCGCTCCGACCATGTCGCCAGTCAGCTGATCCGTCAGCGTGCCTGTACTTGCTTCTTCTTGCAAACAAATATCAGTATCAAAAAAGGTTCCAGGAGTTAGCCCTAAACCCTAAACCCTACACCCTAAACCCTAAACCCTAAACCAGGGAAACCGACAAGTCTGAGTCGCCCATGAAGTGGTTGAAAACCGGGAGATTGAAGGGCGTGTCCTTCTCGCTCAGGGTCTTCTGTGCGACCTCCCGTTGCTCGAGCATTAGCTTCGCAGTTGGCCAATACGTTGACCTCTGACAGGTGTTGTTGATAAAGTCCCAGGCATTCGCCACGTAAAGTCTTGGTTGGTCTTTGATTTTCAGCCCTCTTAAGGATGAAATAGGGGAACCAAAACGTTCTACAAAGTCAAAACGTTGTAGTAAAGTACCGCCTGCAGTATATACCCCCCATTATACCAATTATCTTTACTACATAAACTAAACCCTAAACCCTAAACCCTAAACCCTTTTCTCCTCCCCACAATGGAACCCCTTCCTTTTGCGGAAACACCCCTTCCAAGTGCGAGCAAAGCAACGTGGACGAAGCAAAGAAATACTTGTTCCACTCTGCCACGCCGAAACCCTAAACCCTAAACTCCCCCAAACAAACACGGAATCCCATATAGCCCTGTTGTTAAAGGACCGTAGTCTATGTAGGGCCCTTTTTCGGGTTCCATGCTAGTTTGGGGGAGGGGAAACCTCTCAACCAAAGGGCTTTTCAACCAAGTTGCGTGGGCGAAGCAAAGGGATATTTGTTCCACTCTGCCACTGCTTCACTTCGGGTCATGTCGCCATAGTTGACATCGTGCTCCAAGAAGTATCTGGACTGCCGCAAGCCCCTGCCCATGTACATGCCCGCCAAGCTCAACTTGCCTTGCTAGCACTTCAGGGGAGAGTGGGGAAGTGAATCCCTCTAATAGCCCCGCTAGAACCCTGCCTCTAAACTGACCTATGGCTTTGGGGAATCCTGCGCGCTCGCTAGCTCCCCTTGCAGTACTGAAAGGGCCCTCAGCCCCTGAGCTCCCCCAAAAGGTATGGGTGGCTAAACCCCAAAACTGAAACCAGAAGGCACATGACCACCCCTAGACCTTAAACCCTAACCCCCAAAGCCCTAAGACCCTAAACCAAGTAAGGCACGCCTAGTCCCTCCCCCTGAGCACCAGGAAGTCGCCCAGCAAGGTCTAAACCCTATAAAACCCTGACCCCCCTTTTACCCTAACCTCTATAAACCCTAAAGCCCCATAGGTCCCATAAGCTTTAAAACTCCAAAAACCTACAACACCCCCCCGCCCAAAAAAATCAAAAAAACACTGTTGGCCCTAAGGCCCTACAAGCCCTATTCTCCCTATATGAGTCCTGTTTAGACCACATTGAAACCCTACATGAGCCCTGGACTCAATGGCTGGCCTCCCCAAAAAGGACACGCCTATATAACCCCCTGTTAGGACCGCTATTCTAGCCCCTATATACCCCCGACATGGCAGCAATAGAATCAGGGGGCTCCTCTAAACCGTCCAGAGACCCTATCACCCCCAAACCCTAAACCCTATAAACCCTAAACCCTATAAACCCTATAAACCCTATAAACCCTATAAACCCTATAAACCCTATAAACCCTATAAACCCTAAACCCTATAAACCCTAACCCTTGGTTCTCTTACACCCCTTCACATAAGCCCTCTCAACTGCGCCAGGGGAAGTGGCCCCACAAGGTCTTGTTGTCGTAGGCACCCAGCGCCTCACCAAGGCTCTCGGAATACAGCCCCCAACCTGGGCTTTTCACTTTAGGGCTGCTTTTGAGGACCATGATAGGGAAGGAATTTTGGGACCCCAGAAGCCTGGATGTAGACTTTGGAGGGTTTTTTGAGCCCGAGGGCTAGGGCTGAGAGTTTAGGGTTTTCGGCTTTCTGGCTTTCTGCTCGAATTTTAGGTGTTTTGGGTCTTAGGGACTGAGGGCTCCGGGTGTAGAGGGTGTAGGCGCATGGGGGTAGGGGCTTGGGTGTATAGGGCTCAAGACTTAGGGTTTAGGGCTTCGGGCGTTGGGTTGATCATGGGCACCGTTAGACATTGCACTCACTCATAACTCAGAATCATCACGCTTGCTATTCCAGTATCATGCTTGTCTGTTGCTTGGCATGCTCGCTTGCTCACGGCACTACTGGAAACCGTCATGTTTATTGCTACTACTTGGTGGCTTCTTGTTCTGGCCACATCATGTTTGAGCCGTTGTTCCGAACTATGAGCCCTAGTCATCACCATTATCCGTCATTGCTGTCATGATCGACTGACTGCGTGATAGTGACAACGGCCGCTTTTGGTTTCAGCTGGAGACGGAGCTAGTGAGGGAGAAGAAGTGCAGTAAACCCTAAGACTAAGACCATATAAACCCGATAAGCCCCTACAAATGACCCTACACTCCCTAGAAACCCCAAGATGCTAGACCTTGGCGGTCATCGGCAAGCATGAGCTGGGAAGTGGGGAAGAGAAGGGGAAGGGGAAGAGGCAAGAATGTGAGGTACCAGGTACGCGGGAGACTGCCCACTTGAAACTTCCTTGGGCTGTCCTGAAACCCTAAAAGCCCAAACCCTAAGCCCTGAACATCCCTGAACCCTAAACCCTGAAACCCCAAGCACTAAACCCTAAATCCTGCCGTCTGAAAAGGGGCGCTGAGACTTCCAGAGCTTCAGGAGCTTCAGGAGGGCTTCGGGGGCTCGGGGGGCTGGAGTGTTCAGGTTGCCGAAGACCCCCCTAAACCTAGAAACCTAAACCCCATACCCCCCACCCCCCTAGACCCTAGGACCCTAAACCCCCCCTCAAAGCTAAACCCCAACTGGACCCCAAACCCCCTACACCCCCTCCTGCACCTTCTGCTTACTCCTACCTGTCCAGTACCTGGAGGAAAAAAAAGCAGCTAACCTGTGGTTGAATAGAGGGATTCAACAGGGAATAGCGTACCCAAAAAGGTTAGAGGTAACCTACTTCACTGCTAGGTACTCAAACTCCAGTTACCTATAACCCATAAAAACTGTAGGAAATTGGAGCCCCAGGTTCTTACTCAAACGGTCCTAGGAGCCCTCCTGGAAGGTGTCCACAACTGGCAGGTCGACGTTGCACGCGTCGGGCATGAAGATGGTCTCCTGGATTAGGGTTTACCCAAAGGCGTCTTAGCTTCCCCTACTTGAATTCAGGGCATACCGTCTCCCAAGCTCGGCAAACCCCCCCTAGAAAGGGTCCTACATAGCACGACACATTGGTGACTGGCCTCCTACGAAGAGGGCCTATCATGGGCTTCCATGTTTGCTTGGGGGGGGGGCTTTTAGGGCGTAGGGTTAAGGGGTCTCCTGGAGCCAATGGCCCAAGCCTTCGTGGATCATGCTGGCCGCCATCAGCGGGATCATGTAGTCCATGCAAGCCAAGCCCTTCGTCAAGTTCTCGTGACAGTCCAGGCCCTGACCAAGTTCGAGGATCTGTTGGTTTACGCAGTTGCCGTTGGCATCGTACGCGGGCGTCTGCAGGATGAAGGCTGGGAACTGGCTGTTGCCGCAGCGCTGCATATCCAGGACTGCCCCGGAGACTTCGCAGGGGTACACGGCCGTGTTGCAGTTGTGCAGCTCGGTGAAGGCAAACCTGGTGCCCCGGAGGATGTTGTTGTAGACAAGGGTGAGGTTGTTGGTCATGTCGGTCCAGGACATGTTCTGATAGTAGAAGGGTCCAGATTGGTCATTGATCAATCCCAGCACATCCGCAGCCGTCATGCCTCAGCTCTCACAGGCACAAAGGCTCTAGCGGCTTTAGGGTTTATAAGCTGGGCCACTCCATCTCCCTAACATAGAGAAGGCCTCTGCAAGTGAGTATCCGAGGCACTCCGCCCGAAGGCTTGGCTTACGAGCTCCACCACCTGACTGGCGTTTAAAGGGGGGGGAATGATTAGAGGGATCCACGCTAGGGATTCTACAGGCATGTCTTGTAAAGGCATCCACACTCCCCCCACTCCCCCCTTCAGCACCCGCAAGTTATCCCTGTAAACCCTATAGGCCCCCCAAACCCTTTAAAAACCCTATAAGAACCCTATAAAAACCCTGTAAAAACCTTTTAAAACCCTGTAATAAAATATATAAACCCTATATAAACCACCTTGTAAGAACCCTATAAAAACAAAAACTATATAAACCCCGTATAAACCCTATAAACCCTATACATACATACATACATACATACATACATACATACATACATACGTACATACGTACATACGTACATACGTACATACGTACATACGTACATACGTACATACGTACATACGTACATACGTACATACGTACATACGTACATACGTACATACGTACATACGTACATACGTACATACGTACATACGCACATACATACAGATATACCCTATAATCCTCCGCCACCTTCCGGGACATCATCTCGGCATCGGCTCTGGACTCCTCGGCCACTTGCTTCGCCTGTTCCGTTGTGACATTCATGCCGAAGCCGACGAGGCGCCAGACGAAGATCTCCTGGCCGACGGCCCCAAGGGCCGAGTAGCCACGCTCAAAGCCTTGGGAAGGGGACAGGGGCTTAGGGAAGGTCTTAGGGTTTGGGGCGGTTCGGGCTAGGGAACCATGCTCGAGTAAGGAGCCCCAAAAAGGCCCAACCAAAAAGGGGCAAAACGGAAACTTTGGGCTTCCAAGAAGCCGGGGCCGTAGGCTTTGGGGATCAAAGGCGCGAAGCCCTTGATAGCAGCCTGGAACTCCTCGAGGCTGCTACGAAGCTCTTCGAGAAGGCTCGGGTCTTTTGTCCAAACACTCCAGTCCACGGGAGACGTGTACGCATCGTACCAATGATCAAAGTTTGCCTGCTGCGGGATCACACCAGCTTTCTGGGAGGCCTCAAGGAACGTTGACCATTGACGCAGGTACGCTGGGAACTTCGCCAAGCCTTCTGGCTTCGACATTGGCGATTCTTCGCGCACGGCCGTGAGCGCTTGGTAGATGCCCGGGTAGTAGTAGAAAGGCATTTGGCTCGGAGTAGGGTCGTCCTGGGGGCTTCTGCTGAGCACCGAAAGAAGAAGCTTGGAGGGGGGCTCTGGGACTGAGAAGGTTTCATAGAGCTATAAATACCCCCACTTGTGGTTATGAGTATCTCTGTCATCTTAATGATCAGCACATACGCCCCAGAGCCCGGGTTTGACGGTTGGTCGGAAATGGCTTAGGGGTAGGGAGAAAGTCCTGGGGAAAGAGGTCCATTGTGAGTGCCAACGGCAAGTCCGAGGACGTAGGGATCGACTCCCCGCGGAGGCGCTCCCGGACCAGCATCTGCATGCGGGACACGGCATTCCTGCTGGGGGTTTCAAGATGGAAGGTGAGAAGGGTTAAGAGTGCACTGCTCAGACCCAAGGGGGGCTGTGATTGGGAAATGGAAGAAGTGAAGTGGGCCTGTCATAGAGCGGCTGTCCAGCATCAGCAAATGCATCGTCAAGTTCCGCCATGAGTTCTGAAAGGGCCTTGGTGCGACGCTGGCTCCCCTGCACCGTCATGTCCGGCCAGTGATCACGCATCTTTGTATCCGACATGCCGTTCTTGTTCACCGGGGCCCCATAAAGCTCCACAAAGACTTCGTCGAAGCGCTTCCTCAACTGCCACGTCGCGGAGGAGAGGCTGCTTGAGCAGGGCACCGCAGGGCCGCTGCTCCGGGTGCTCCGGCGATGCTTGTGGTGCAGGAAGGTGGCGACATCACCAACATCACCCTCACAGGTCGCCTCACCTGGTAAACAAGGCTCTGCGAGGCAAACCCATGGCAAAACAAGCGGCAAGAGCGCACGCATCATGGCACTGAACGTTGCTCCAACCTTGTTCTTCCTTTCAAGCAAGCAGAATGGCTGCAGACATGGGCATGCTTCTGCTGTTGTAGGTAAACTTTTCCTCGAGACTACCACTCTTTGTTCCGCTGACGGCTACCGATAGCGAACGACCGCCACACGCAGCAGCACACATTGAAGATGATTGCGTGGTGGGGCCTCAGGAACCTACCTTTTTCTCTCTCTCTTTCTCTCTCTCTCTCTCTCTCTCTCTCTCTCTCTCTCTCTCTTTCTCTCTCTCTCTCTCTCTCTCTCTCTCTCTCTCTCTCTCTCTCTCTCTCTCTCTCTCTCTCTCTCTCTCTCTCTCTCTCTCTCTCTCTCTCTCTCTCTCTCTCTCTCTCTCCCCCCCCTCCCTCTCTAAACCCCAGGCAGCAAACAGACAAATGTCTTGCATTTCGCTGTGCGCGAATCAAGCTGTAGCAAACGTTCTCTTTGGGTCTATTTTTTCAGCAATTGTGTTTGAAACATGCCAGATACTCCATGTTCAGTCATGCGAAGACATGCGTTGGATGCATGAACTGGCTCAAGAACAAAAAGAGTGTGAGCGCGAGGGGTTCCTCTAAGTCTTGGGTTCCCCTTCGAGGGACTTGACATTCAGCTGAGCAGCAGCTTGGCATTCGCAGCAGCAGCAACAGCAAGCAGTTTGCACATTCGGCATGCTGCATCAAGGAGACCTTTTCTTTACTGCACTTTGCCAGAGGCTGGCTATCTTGAGACTCAGAAGATTTTGGGATTCATTGGAAGAGCTGCAGCAGCCACCGCAGCTGCAGCATCAGCAGTAGCATCACGGAGGCATTGGCATTTCCATTTGACATCTCATTATCTCGACTCCATCATATAAACTTCATCTCGTTCTCCAGGTGGGACGAGACACGAAGGGTTGGGTTAACCTTAATCCCATCCTACTTGCTTGTCATCTGTTGTAGCCCAACACCCTACTGTTCAGGGCTTCAGGGCACCGGCCCCAGCGTAGGACCCTGTGTGGGATTGGTTGTGTGGTTTCCTCTGTTCCCTATTAGATTCAGGGTAGGCAAGAGGTCTCGTCAGGACTTGAAGGCCTCTGGGGGCCATGAACATAGATGAGGAGGGACTCCCATCTCCTTCGACCCCTCGAATAAGAGCCATCACATACACCACAGGAAGTCCAGAGCCACTCCACATACCAGCACATCCTACAACGCCAACAGCACTCACATCCTTCCCGGGTCATAACCGACAGGTTATGAGCCCAAGGGGCACCACTGCAGCTTGGACACCGCCTCCAGCAGTACATCCTTTTGCAGCTTCTGCTTCAGGTACAACTACTCCGTTTGCAGGTGCAACCTTCACGCAAGCAACTCGGATTGAGGTCCCGGTACACGTGTTGGAACAATTTGCACAGCAGAATACGATTGACAATGAGATCCTTGGAGATTTACCGGTGGCCGTTGTAGAACTACATGACCGCATGCAACACCGCACAAACATCCTTGGAACAACAACTACCTCGTTGGCCGACGGCTACAACCTTGTGGTAGAAAATTTAGGGCGACTGCAGCAGGGCCTTGATGCACACAGTGAAGTCATCACCCGTCTTGCGCAGGACAACCGAGGAATTCATGATGAGCTTGAAGCCACGCGCGCTCAGTTGGAGGAGGTTCGGACAATGGTGCAGACACCCCGATTGGGACCAGAACAATGGCAGTCAGGCTCAGGTGGAAGCACATATCTTAAAACTTCAGAATGAGTTCGACTTGCGAATGAAGCAGGTCGATGATGATCATCATAGCACCAAGTCCCGTGTTCGAAATCTTGAGGACACGGCTGTGAGTAGGACGGAAGTTCCTGATGCTCACATGGTACAGGAACAAGTGGACGAGACCTTTTCTGCGGCGCAGCACCTCAGAAGCGTCGTCGAGGCTAAGCACCTGGAGTTAGACCATGGCTTGGCAGAGGCAAGGGAATCGAGTCAGGACCTGTCCAACACTCAGCGGAAGGTTGAGAAGAGTCTTGATCACCTTCAGGCACTTGTGAGCAGTTTGCCATGAACTCTGATGGTGAGGAACAAGCAGATGAACAGTATCTTGATGCCTATGAAGGTTCATGGTGGGGCAATCAGGCGGGACTACAAGGTCAGGAGGAGCCCGAACGACCTCCAGGCCTGACATCTTCCTCAGCAGCCTCTTCGAGCCAACAGGCATTGAAGCCTCTGGGTGAGCCCATTGGAGGGCCATCTGGACAGAATCCTGCTCCAGCTGAGGGCAGGAACACCAGTCAGGAACAGGGCAATGCAATTCATCATGCTCGATGGAAATTGCTGGCTGATGTTCCGAGCTTACAGGTTGGTTCAGGGGAACCGTGGGAAGTCGGAATGAGATTTCGCACGTGGTTGAAACAGCTTGACACAGTCGCTGGCACCATAGCACCTGCTTTTAGTACTTTCGTGACAGCGCAGGTTCAGTTGGCGGAGCAACGTCATGGTGAGAGGATGGCTGGCTTGGTCACCTTGGGACCGCCGCCGGATGTGGATCCACGAGATTCTGAGTGCGAAAGCAGGCTTATCCTTTTGTTGATCCGTTGTCTTCCCCAGGAATGGAAAACAAGCGTGCTGGAACAACAGGACGAGTCCAAGGGCATGAGAGCTTTGGATCTCCTAGAGGGAGTCTTCGAAGTCCTGCAGCCCGGCGGGGCTGCAGAGATGCAATCCTTGAACACGTTCGTTCGTACACTTCGGCCTGTTACGACAGCAAAGGATGGACTCAGTGTTCTTAGGCGCTGGCGTCTCGCCAGAACCAGGGCCACAGCTCTGGCACTTCCAAAGTTGGCACCGTTTGAAGAACTACAAGTTCTAAGTACGATGGCACAGACTTTGGAGCGGCGGCATGATCGTTTTCGCACCCTCTTGGGCTTGCTCCGGACAGATCCCGACATCATCCGCCCCACAGCAGCTGGAGTTGAAAAGATGGTCACTCTGATAGAGCAGCAGTTGCAGCTACTCAGCGCTTGATGAGCACATCAAGGGAGCCAGAGCCTCAAGCTGCAAAGGGCAAAGGCGATGGCAAGGGAAAGGACAAAGGCAAGAGAGGGGGCAAGGAAACGAAGAAGCCGTGTGAGTTCATGAAGAAATACGGGAAGTGCAAATTTGGCGACAGATGTCACTACAGTCATGATGGTCTACAAGGACAGGCGCCAAGAACGACACCGAATCCTAAGGCTGCTCCAGTTTCGACACCAGCTAAGGAGTCTGGTACACAGGAGTGTCTTGCATGGGCCAAGAATGGCAAATGCAAGTTCGGCGACAAGTGCAGGTACCAGCACAATGGTGAAGCGAACAAGGCAGCAAATCCGAAGGCGAAGCCGAAACCAAAGGCAAAGGCCAAATCCTCAGCATCAGCTGCAGAGGGAGAGTCCGAACTTGTCGGAGTGAAGCCTACAGCGTCTGCTATCCGTGTTTCTTCCAGTGTTGCTAGAATGGCACGCAGCATACAGAGTGAGGAGGAGAGCAGCAGTCAGGCATTTTCTGGTGAGGTGTTTGAGATTCCCATGCATGCAGAGGCAAGTACTCCCGAGTGGTCAGATGTTGAACAAGGAGATTTGCCTGATGAAGATTCAGATGTCTCTGCAGAAGAAGGGGACGATGAGCGCAGGGGAGACGATCCTTTGTGGGTACGTGACTTAACTTTGCAGGATTTTGTTGCGTGGACACGGCCAAATCACACACAGACCAGGGCAGAGAAGCTTTTCCGCGAGGAGGAGAACCCATATGCAGTCACCTGGGGTACATGGATCATACTGCATCACGACACCGAGGATGCGGATGAGGCTGGTGCTATCCCGATCGGGGACAGCGTTGCGATGCTCCAATACGATTGGACACTTGTGACGTGCATCGATGCTGTGGCACGACCTTGCGTAGTAGCACATCTCATGGACGAGGACACTGGCAGAGAGAGACTGGTGGCACTGATACGAGCGCCCTAATGAACGTATGCCGTTTGTTCGTCCTTGGGAACATGCATCAACATCCAGTCAGTCAATAAGACTTCCGTGTGACCAGGCTGCATCATCGACAGATCCGAGAGCTCCAGCTGCAGAGGCACCCACAGTACCGCCACCTCCATGTGTGAACAACCAACCTCCAGCACAGGCACGAGCCCAGGCAACTGAGATGTTTCATGTGCATGTACGACATCTACCAGTACATGGAACTTTACCTCAGAGGAGAAGACCCAGTGAGACACAGAGCGACATGAGTCACGCTTGTGCTGCTAATGTTGACTTCACATTAGTGGATCCACCCGCAATTGTAAAATCCCTCTGCCGGAACACAATAGTGTAGCCCGCCACAATTGTAAAATCCGACCCGGGAAATCCGGCTTTTACGGGCGTGGTGCTACTACCTAATACTAAAGCTAATACTACGTCCTACCAGGATTTAGGCGAACAGTATTGAGGAGGCCCTGGCCGGAGAGATTGATCAATGAAGGGGGGGGGTTTATTAATGCGAAGTCAACATTAAGGGTTGCACGACTGGGTCAGAGCGTGATCTGGTGTTGGCAGACTCAGGTGCTAACGAAGTCATTCGCCCGGCACAAGACCAACCGCCGCCGCGATCTATGCAGGTGGACCTCACGTTGGCAGACGGAAGTGCAATTCCATCCTACAGGTCTAGAGATGGCGAGCTTGCTGTTCCGGGCAGTGATTCGTGGATAGCACCCATCGGCAAGATTGTGGAGCTTGGCTACAGGTTTGTGTGGGACAACATGACGAGAGCGCAGCTGATTCGGGGAGAGGGAGATGAGGCAGAAGTTATCTACATGAAAGTGGAAAATGGCCTTCCCTACCTTGAGTGGCATGATTTTGCAACATTGCGCCGACAGCTTTCACAGGCTTACAGACAACAGAAACGCGTGCTGTGTGCCCGTGCTGAGATCAAGGAACCTGAAAAAACAAGCGGTCTTTTCCACTTAAGTTTGGGCCTGAATGTCGCATCATCCGAATCATGCAACGCACTCCTGGCAAAACATGAAAGACGTGTCAAAGCACTAGAAAATCTGTACACAAGATATGCTAGGGGGTAAATGGTAAAGTTCATCACCCCGCCTGAGATTGCAGTGTTCGAACTGCATATCTCACATGAACTTTCGTCTGCTACTCTGTGCGCGTCAGCATGTCTTTACAATGACTGCACGTGCTCAACCTCCTTGGGGGATTGAGGGAACTCTTCAAGGTTCCACAGCTTCTGTGATGAAAACACTCACCACTTCGTGTAACGAAAAGCTCTTGGGGTACCACGATTCTCACATTGGCGTCAGAACGGACTCGCATCAGCTCACCATCAGTTGGCTCAGCACTCGTCGGTTGCAATTTGTGCTCCAGCTGAAGAATGTAGCGATGCATGGTCCACACCACCCCAAGAAGAAAGAAACACATGTACTGCTCCATGGTACACTCCGGCATCAGTCCACACAGGAAGATGAAACTCATGATCATCTTGGTCGCAAAGTCTTGCGAGCTCATTTCCAGAAGACTGTTCATGTCGAAACCATGGAAGTCTCTAGCCCAGCTCAAGGCCCGGTAAATGCACAAACCACAGCACAACAGGACGGTAGCCCAAGTCACGTTCGCCATGCCATGACGCTGGTACGGATTCGCCGCCTCTGCTGCATCTCCAGTTGTAGGCAAACAAAGAAGAGTAAGAAGTGCTACCTGTTTCGTCAGCCTGCTTGCTTCGCCCTTCAAGGAACCGGTCACTCCATGCTGCCGAGCATATTCAGTACGAACTCTCTTCACCTGCATCTTTGCTTGATCTTGCAGAGCCATTTGTGCAAACTCTTCCTCGCCAATAGCCTTTCCTGTGAAAGCATCAACGAAACCATGCAAGAACAGTAAGGCTCGCAAACGATTGGCACTGTGCATCTTTGTAGATAAATCGCCAAGATTGAAAATGCTTGCAATTGCTCCAACATCGATGATCTTCTCACGCACTGATTGCTGCAACCACAAGAGACGACCAGCTACATGGCGAGTCTTGTTCCCAACGCCTTGGCGTAGGGCGAGCTGTCTCGCTGCTGAATTGTCTATCTTAAGATCCAAGGAGCATTCTGTAATCGCCGCCATGAAGACGAAAATCGCCCTCAGGAAAATTCCTTCGCAAGCAGCACTTATCGCAGCATACCATTCGGCTTCTGCTGATGAAAGACTCACAGTGCGATGTGACCTGCAAATGTGATGGAACACACAACCATTTACTGCATACGACGCGGACCCAAAAGACTTTCTTGTAACCCGATGTCCACTCCAATCAGAATCGCTGTAGATCTCAATTCGGTTGGGCATATCATCGTGATTTGCCTCGCGGAAGACTGTGGATCCAGGAAGCTTGGGCGAAAGCAACGTGTCATACTCAGCAGTGTTAAGCAGATACTTCGCTAGTCTGATCAATCCTTTCCATGCCTGTTCGGTGGGATTTGACATGAATCCTGCCAAAAGTCGGACAGAGTAGCAGATGTCAATGCGATCACTTGACAAATACAATGCAATACCCAGTGCACTCCTGAACTTTCCTGCTCGAACAGGATCAAGAGGACCGGAAACATCCTCGCGAATTAGCTCTGGAAGATATGGTGTGTTATGCTTCGATCCGTGCTTGACATCAAGTACTTCGGCCATGTGTCGTATGTAGCTGCTCGAAGCTTCCACTAAAATCCCAGATTCCAAAATAGTGTGCTTTCTCTTCAAGAAAGAAAAGACATCTCCATTCTTGTACGCAATCTCTACCGAGATCTCGAAACGCGATTGCAATGTAGGGATGTACTTCTGCTTGAGCCATGTCAAGGGAGCAAGCGTGAGGCCGTCGTCAACATGCATGATCATCGGGCCCTCGGGGACACGCATGATTGCCGGGTTCTCAACACAAGACTCAAGGGCATCGAACTTGTCGGTCAAAAACTGTACGAAATATCCAAACCATCTTTGTGCACCATCTCTCTGTCCAGGCACACACTTCTCAAAGACGTATTGTCCTTGAAGCATGCAATCTTTGGGTAGATCTGCGACGACGGGCTCTTCCTGAGGCACCTCTAAATAGGCGTCTTTGACGTCTATAGCACATATTGCGTATTGCTCTTGCCTCGTCGCTCTCCACAAAAGGAAAAGGATCGGAATGAGTTTCACCATGTTTGTCGTGGTACTTGGGGAAAATAGCCCTTGTTTCTCCTCAAGCCACTTGTACTCCCTTGCCACTAGTCTGGATCTTCGGAGATACTGTGACATCCCATTCCTCTTCTTCTGCCGCCAAGTCCTGACCATTTTGGTCGAGAGACTCTTCATCGATGAAACGTTGTCCTTCTCGGACGACGGGCGCAACACACCCTTCTGTATCAGCCTATTCACTTCCACAGCATCAGCGATCCTGTCAAGTTCGAACAAATCTGACTCTGAAAGCTTCGGTTCACAACCATTGTCTGGAAACCATAGAGCACTGGCATCAACGCTCTGCCCCGCCTCGTCCTTCATTGCCGAGTCGGGTTCGGTGCTCGAACACTTGTCGTAATCGGGGTCCACAAACTTGAAGTCGGACCAATCTGCATCCATAAACTCAAAGGGCTCGTCATTAAGATCATAGTCCTTGTTGCCAAAAGAAACGGTTCGGATTCTCGGAACTTTTGAAGCACGTTCTTCAAGAACATCACTGGCCTCATCAGTCTCCATAGCAGTGCCTGATGGCACCACTGGACTTGTGAGTGGAAGCAGGTCTTCCACGGGTGTTGCAGGAGGCACATGTGGCCTTTGTGAAGGATTTGGAAGCTCAGGTCCCGGTGTTGGAACACTTTCGGGCACCCTGGAGCTTGGCGGTGGTGGACGACTGAAAGGCACTTTAGGGGCTTCGGGGTCCACACTACCTCCCACGGGTGTTGGAGGCAATGCTTCGGCAGGGGTTCCAAGGTTAGGGCCTACGTCTGACCCCATGGCAGGAGTCAACCCCATCGGAACTGGCGTCTCAGGTGGATCTGAAGCTGCAACGTCTTGTGGGCTGCTTGGTGCAGGCAAGGCCTTTCTCGTCTTGGCAGGGGGAATCATCTTAGTTCCTATGACCCCGCTACTGTAGTTCCAAGGAAAACCCTTAACATCGGCATACAAAGCAGCATCATGCTTCCACTCATGACCTGTGCGCCTCACGGAGCGGGTGACTCGCACGCCACCTTTGCTTGCAACTACATACATGTCGTTCAAACTGGTCTTGGTCAAGAAAATAGCCTTCAGCCATTTTGGGTCCCCTTTCTTCTTTGCATGAACTTGTGCAAACACTGGTTCGCCATATGCAACAAGCTTGCCGGTATAAGCAGCATTGCAAGTACGCTCATACAAAAGAATCTGTAGACGAGGACGTAGACCGAATCCACGAGGAAACGGGCCATGCCCGGCGAAGGCGCCAAAGGCGCCAACAAGGGAAAGAAAGAAAGCAAGGCCATGTCCTTAGCTGTTGGTGAGACGAGAGCGTCCTTAGTTGAGTCAACAAATCAGGTGATTGAGTTTGGGCAGGGACAACAAGGGGACAAAGCCACAAAAAGCCCTGACATGACAAGAAGGAAACAAGGGCGGAGCAAAATGCTCAAGAGCCCATGTCTTGAAGCCCATCGGGCATGCCTCAGCATCAACAAGCAGGTTTCTACGGCCTGCGGATCCTAAGTGTCGTCGCACGAACTTCGGCCAGCCAAGACAGCACCTTGCTGTCATGAGAGTCGGCTCCACGTCTGGCCGTGGGCCAACCAAGCCGCGACAGCAGAGCATCACCGCAAGATGCAGCTGTTATTCCAGGAGGCCGAGGGGCCATTCGACATTCCCATGTACAGTGGTCCCAGGTCGCTTGCTCCGGCGGGCAACCACAGTACGGACACCCTAACACACTTCTGGGATTCATCACTTTGAATTTGGCAGGGGAAACAGATGCTCCAGAGAGCACAGCAAACTCATGTGAACTGAGCTGCTTCTTCTGCAGAAGCTTGAGGCGTTTTGGATCATAGACGATGCCCCGACACCTCCCAGAGTCGATCCTACCCTGGTTAAGCCACTTGCCAAAACAGGTGTGCCTCCAGGATTCACGAAGGATATGCTGAATTTGAGGTAAGTTACGCGTCCAGCCCCTTTCACCATCCAGCAGCGAGATATTGGCATTGAGAGGGACGTGTTTCCATGACCAGGGTCGAAGAGTTTCAGACCAACCCATGTCACGCATGCCACGACGTAAGGCACCAACCCACCCCGACTTGGCACGTCTCCAGGGCTCAAGCACCGTACCGGAGGTCCTGACGAACCTATGCATAACAGACATGACTTCACAAGTGGCCATGAACCTGACATCCCATCTGTGTCCTTTGAGGATCTTAGCCAAATGAACACTGGCAGTTTTGGGTGTTTTAAGGAGCACCTTGCAAACAGCCTCCCATGGTTGCACGTCGGACAAGGAGGGCCTCCTGCAAATCCAACCCCACATGATTTTGGGGACAGCACTGTACTGAGCAATTCGGATTTTTCTGTCCAGGGAGCCAGGAAGACAGCGGCACTTGCGAGCCCTATCCTTTGCCTCCCTGAGACGCTTTTTTTCGTGGTCACCAGCCTTTCTAGCTTGAGCCCCTTGAAAAGTGAATCCAAGGACCTGGATGGAATCACTGATGGTTTGTGGAGGAAGGCCCACTGAAACCAAAGCCCTTCGGCCCCTGATAGTTGGGTGAAAGTATTGCGCCTTAACTTCATTTTCACGGAGACCAAGATACTGCATCCAAGCTCCCCACTTCCTAGAGACGGTAGCAAGCTGCGTCGCGGTCTTACAGGCAAAGCTTCTATCGTCTGCAAAGATAGTTTGCTGCACTCCAGGGCTGCTGGCCTGGATATTCCTTGCTGCAGGCAACAAAAGGAAACTCATGGCTGCCATCGACCAAGAATCTCCCTGTGGAAGAGAGTTGTTGACTGAAGTGCTTTCGGGGATCGTTTGATCAAGCAGCTGAAGCCATCTACACTGATTGGTCCAATTGTGACACAACATGTCAGCAATTCGGGGATCAAGACCGCAGTGTTTCATGACAGCGGTAGCCAACTTAGGGTCAGCATGGTCGAACGCCTTTTCAAGGTCTAACGTCCCAACGTACCAATACCTATGGGTTTGGTAGAGCAGCGGGCCTATAGCATCCTGAGTCCCCCTACCAGGTATTCCTCCATACACGTAGTTAGGCATAGCATGCTTAAGCCAAGCCTGGGTGTCTTTGTGTCCATATCTGGCTTTGCAGCAAACACGCCAAATCAGGCTGGTGACCGATATGGGTCTGAGGTTAGCAGCAAGCATGCTACCGTTCGACTCTCTAGGTTTACCCTTCCCTAGGTGAACTTGACGGATTTGTCTCCAGGCTTCCGGTACACGACTACAGTTTTCGCATTCCAGGTAGAACTGGGCAAGTTCCTGCCACATCTTGTCTGAGAAGTGCAATAGCTCTTCGGTAGTCCAGCCATCTAGGCCAGCAGCAGAGCCTTTGCAGTTCAAGGCGGCACGCTTGAGGTCCTGTCCGGTAACAGGAGCCCATCGTCTCGAGTGGACAGCTGGGGGTAAGTGCCTGACCATTTCATTCCAGACGGCTTGTCTGTCAAGCTGAGGTCTGTCCCACACCTTTTTCCAAAAGGATTGGAGCTTGCGAAGCGCCATCTGCACACTATCAGCAACCGTGTCATCCTTGGACATTGCAATGGCATGGGTAGTTTCAGTAGCTTGTTTACGCAACCAACGGAAGGCATGGTGGTCCTCAGCAGTCCTAGCTCGCCACCTTTGCAATCTGTTACTGTTTTCTTCTTGAACACATTGCTCAAGCTTCTTTTCGAGTTTTTGGATGTTTTCCGTGAGGCTCGAATGTTGGTCATAGTCAGGAGCCCTGATGATTTTTTCCCAAAGTTTCTGGGTTTGGTGCCTAGAAGAGATAGAGCTTTGTTCGGAGCTGTGCCTTTGCCTATATTCCATCATTCTTCCCAGCAGGTTTCGAATGGCCCGTTGTTGAAACGAAGTGAAATGCCCAGCAGGTGGTCTGTGAGCAACATGCCTACGCTTGACAACAGGTTTGGTCGGTTTGCCTTTAGCAAATTTCCTAAGATGCAAGTTCTGACCTTGGTCGTTGTTACACTTTTCATGGGCACTGAGCAGTGTTTTGTAGAGGGCTTTGTTAAGGGCTTCCCACTTAAGGTCCACGCTTCCATCGCAGGGGAGGGCTGAACTCTCTTCACTCCATGCCTCATCAACGGCCTTAGTGAAGCTGTCCTGTTGCTCGTCAGAACATTTTGGCAACACTGGCGGGGTCTGAACCACGAAATCCTCAGTATGTTTCAAGCGCTTTTGCCAAGACGCAGAGACAATTTTGTGATCCGACACTTTGTGGGCAAGGGTGCAAACCTGGGTAAGCCTCTGGTTACTGCAGAAGTAGTCGATACACCTATCGCTCGACCATCTCGTGGGCCCATCGGGACTCTGGATTTCACAGCAAACTCCGACGAGGTTTGAGTGAAATGGGTTAAAACTAGGAAGGCAATTGAAATCCCCCCCCATTATCCATTGCTGTTCTTGCGGGAGTGACAACAACGTGGCAGCAGTCTCGTCAGCAACTTGCCAATTACCCGGAACTGGTGCCAGATAAACAGAGCACACAAGAGTTCCACTGATCCATACCGCTTGCACAGCACCTTCAGTGGAAACAAAGTTCCAAGCCGGGGACGACTTGAAACCCTGTTTTACCAAGACCAGGGAGCCTCCATGAGGTCGACGACTGGTTTGCACGCAGCCTGAATAGTAGCAGTGATACCCCTTTTTTAAGGCCGCCGCAGAGTATCCCACGGCCTCTTCTTTGGGCAAAGCAACTTCTTGAAGGAGAAGGATGGGAGGTCCACCATCAAGCAAGTGGTTAACCACGTGCCAGGCTCCACGGGCTCCTCCAACATTGATCGTCCATATTAAGGTGTTGGCAGTAGCGGTATTCACGCGCCTCGTATGAGAAGGGCCAGGGAGCGGCTCGATTCCATCCCAGACCAGCTTTTTCTTTTTGAAAGTAGCATGGGCCTTGTTGTGTTGGGGCTCTTTGCTACCAGAGCTATCTTTTCTAGAACTGACAATGGAGCGAACCCATTTACTGACAGCTCCTTGAAGTTTGTGTTCATGGTCTCGTTCAAGCACAAGTTTCCACGCAAGCTTGACTCTACGGGGGCCTCTGGGGTCCTTTTTTGCCTGGGCACACGTGAGGAGCTTTCTGTTGTAGTTGGTACCATAACCAGCAAGAACTTGAAGGCATTCACTACACCACCACTGTCGGCTTTCACCTTTTGGCATGTTGTCGTATTGGTCAGAAAGGTCAAGCTCAACCGGTTTGTGTGTTTTGAACCTCTTTTTTCTGGCTTTGTCATGCCTTTTAGTCGCAGCAGCACTAACATGCGGTTGCTTTTTGCCTTTAAACCTAGCCGAACACATCAACGACATCCATTTAGACGTCTTGATTTTGGGATGACATTCTCTCCTATGCTTGGAAATGGCTTTGGTCATCATGCGCGTCGTTTCCAGAGCTGGAAGTCCAACGTCACAGCACGGACAGTCAAATGCCCTCTGATCCTTAGGCAGCAGTGCAGACGGAGCAGGGATCGGCGCTCCTCGGGGCTTTATAAGGAATTGTTCATACGGGACATGTTTGTGGTGAGTTTTCCAATGATACCATCTCATGGTGCAAATGTTTTTCCAGGGACCCTTCTTTTCGGCAGCACAAATCGGGCATCTCCACAGAAAGACATGAACACCGTCTTTTTCTCCAGTTTTGATCCTAGGGTCATTGTGGAATTTGGGCACAGGGGGAAGCTTTTTACCGGGCTTGAGATGCTTCTCACCATTTTGAGACTCAGCTTTTCGTTTCGTTCCTGAGTACATGCTACAGAAGCTCTGGTTACGAGCTTGCGTGGTTCCACCTTCGCTTTTCTCAGGTTTCGGGGTCTGTTCAGCAATTGACAGAGCGCCTGAGCCCATTTTGCAAGGGGTTCTTTCAGGGATTTCCAAGCTTCTGGCCTTGGGGACAGAGGGTTTAGGGGCTTGCCTAGATGAGCCGGCTGTTTTAGAGCACCAGGAGGTCTTGCGAGGCGTGCAGCTAGCAAGACTGAGCCCTTTGCCACTCTTCATGGGCGTCGCAGAACATATCGACAGAGCCTTGGACTTAGGGCCGGCCCCCTTAAGGGCTCCACGCTCCCGAGGCACTGCCCTGATGAGCCAAGATTCTGGGATTGGTTCCTCAAGAGAGTCAGGTACCAAGGCACGATAGCGCTTGTCCTTTAAGGCCAAGACAAGAGGCCTCTGTTTCTTGGTCGTCTGAGCAACCTCTTCGCGCCACCATGGTCCGTACACTGCACGGAGCCAAGTAGTTTGTGTGGGGTGGAAATACCAAATCACTAATGGCACTCCCAGTCGCTCGGCTAAACCTTGGATCAAGAATTCGTCAATCCATGTTTCCCTGCGTGCGATCATTTGAAGGTAGCTCTGAAAAGATTCCGGAGGCGCATTGCCACCCCAAGCAGCTTCGTCTTCGTTGGCATCAACCGCCCAGTGTTGCGCGTAGGAGTCTTTGTGTTTTGCAATGTGATTAGCAGATAAGAGTCTTAATGACGAAGCCTGGCGTGTAAGCTCATCAGAGCTGAGTTCAGGCTTTCGTTGGTTGACCTGTAATGCGACAACAGCAGCACGAAAGCCACAGTCGCCGTTGCCACCTGCCTCAGTGAATCTCCAAGGTCCAACTTGCTGCAACAACAACTCGTCAGGAGTCTTAGGAGCGCTGCTGCCGTCACTCTTGTTCTTGGCGGCTTTGCGGTCTTTGCTTGGCGAGCGAGACCTTTCTTGGTTCCTCTCAATTTTGGTAGCACCAGTGTGTGTGAGATCGATATCTTCGTCGCCGCTACTATCAAGTTGAGTACTCGCAACCCCATTTTTGTGACCGTCAGATCCATCATGGTCAACACGATCAACCCATTTCTTTTTGGGGCCTTTGACAGCCGTGGAATACACAGGCTTCTTTTTGGTACGTCTCTCAGGGACAATGGTGAGGCAACAGTCTATATCAGAATACGACCACGATTCCTCTTGGTGTCCATGGGGGGATCTACCTTTGAAAATCCATTCAGGATAAGCACCCTTGGTCCAGCTCCGTCTACGTGACAGGACTTCACAACCCATCCATTTGACAGAAGCCAGAAAGTCAGCAACGTCAGACGAGTCCCAGGACACTGGGACTCCATGCATCACGAAGTGCCTGGGCCTGTCGTCTTCGGTTTGTTCTCCTCGGACCACTCCAATGTCTTCGTTTTTGGATTGTCGTAAGGCTAGCGGGAGTCCTTGCGCCTCAGCAGCAGCCCAGGCAACTCTAAAGTGTTCCTCATCCTGTGTTTCCCTGTCCCGGTACAGCCATGCAACAGGATCTCGAGCGGAACTTTTAGAAACCAAGGTGGCAAACAAAGCTTGCTTTCCACTGCATTTGATGGCTTTCTGGCCAAGGCTAAGGGGGACACGAAGATGACCAACAAGGCAGGGGCCTTTGGGCATTTCAAGGGTCTCCCATTTCCCTCCGGTCAGCTGACTAACCGAACAGTTGAGGTAACGCGCACAGCACTGTATGACGGATGACGGCGTGTCATAGCCATTTGGGCCAAGAAAGATTTGCCGGTAGTGCTGGGGGGCTAAGAGCCTCAGGGTAGTCATCTCAACTTTGGGCTTGTGCTTAATAGACACGGTGTTCGGAACTTTAGGCTCGGGGCCTATGGAAGCGGTAAGCTGATGCACTTTAAGTTTGACTCGTTGAGGTTTCACATCTCTAGTGTTGGTCCACCATACAGCAAGAGATGGTCCGACAGCATCGGCCTCAGCGACCTCAGCAAGCGCAAGTTGCTCAGTGACCTCAAAAGCAGAAACGAGATTACGAACAGCCTCTAGAGCATCCGGGTCTCTCGTAATGATGAGGTTACCGCTGGGTGGCTCTCCGGTTTCAAGACTTTTCTGAAGTTGCGGGAGCGTGGTGAGTGTAGTTTCGGAATCCCATTCTGAAGGCAGGATTTTGCAAGCGAACCTGCTTCCTTTTTGGGAGGCACGAGGCTTTGGGGGAAGAGCGGGAAACTCTTGGTGATGCAGTTTGCGGCTTTTGTTAGGCATGGATGGCTCAGCACGGTCATCTGGTTTCCATTTAACGCTACGAGTACCATTCGATTTCAAGGGCCAGGCGTCATGGGCCTGCTCATCGTTGCAACTGGGCTCGCTTGCCCATGTTCCATTCCAGGTTTTCCACACTTCAGGCTCCCACCAACCTGTGTCAGGATCCTGCCAATTGTGCCATGAGGTTCTTTCGGGGGAACATTCATCACATGACCAATCCCAGCTTTGATCCGTGTAGCCTGAAGCGTGAGGATTCTGCTCCTGCCAGGCCTCTTCTTGAGGTGCCATAGGAGCATTGTTCCAGTTTGCACTACTACTTTGCCTTTTGTCAAGGGCGGTAAGGACGGCTTCGACTATGACATTCAAAGAAGCTTTAGTGAGGCCAGTTCCCTGCAGTTTTCGCAGTCTGTTAGTGGTCCTTTTTCCATGGGGTCCAGGATGGCTTGCTTCCCCTACCCTAACTCCAGCAAAAGGATTATGACATAACTGGGAAACCCATTGAAGGAGAATCCAAGAAACGGTCCTGATGAGGCGCACAACTGCCCTAAGAGCTGAAGCTGAGGTCGTGACAGTTTCTTCATTCTCATGCTCAAGCGAGCACGCAAGTGTAGCATCATGATGTTTGCCTTGTTGCTTCCACCAGATTCTTTTAAGTCGGTACTCCCAAGCCCGTATTCTACCAGTGAGTCTGGCACGTTTTCTCCTAGCGCGCCCAACTCTCCGGCAGGCAAGGATGTACCGACATGACCCTCGACTTTTTCCAGTGGGGTACGTTTTGGGGGCCTTTGGTTTTGGTTTTCTTCGTTTCTTTTTGGCCTGAGCCTTTGAGGGCCAGCAGTTCACCTCCCTAGTCTGTCCCGTCAGCAAAAGCCAACAACCAAGCTGGGCTATAGCAGAGACAAAGAAGGAACCAAGGTTCGCGGCAGCACTTCGGACATCCACGTCCCCACCAAGGAGCTGGGGTCCATGGATTCTGGCGATTGTTTTTGTTGCAAGCTGGTTGTTTTTAAGAAAACAACTGCTTGGTTTTGCTTTCAGAGCGAGACTAATGGGCCAAGCCACAGGTTTGCTCTGGTTGTTCCACTTCCCATTGCCACCCTGCATGAAGTCCATGGACCATGGCATCGCACGAGTGCCATGAGGGGGACCGATGCTTAGGGGCAGCCCGTGAGGGCAGTGGTTTATTGCATCCAAGGCGCTTGCACAACTATACTGTTGGGGAAAACCCACAGCCGTATTACCAATTAAGAGGGCAACCCAAAAGGGGCGGAACACAGAAGACCTCAAACAACCCTGGGCCTTCTTGGTGCCTAGCACCATCTTTGCACGGTGACTGTCAGTAGACAGCTCTTTTTTCTTGCAGGTCTGCTTTTTAGCAGAATTTGATTGGCATCTCTGGCCTTTTGATGTTCTTTTTTCATTTCTTGATCTCTTGATTCTCTTTTTTGAAGCCTTTTTTGAATTGGTTTTGGATTTTCAGCACAGCCACCTAATGGCTCACTAGAACTACTTCGCCTCACCCAGGAATCAAGGCTCCTTGGGTGACCCGTGCCTGCCAGGTCCCGCTGGACGTCGGGGGCGTAGTTGTAGGCACATACGCTGTGAGTCCGCCTGCCACTGCGAACCTGTTCCTGACCCATGCAGCATGCACAAAAGACCATGCGAAGAGAGGATGCACAACATCGATCTTGCATCCAGTCTTATGTCTCACCATGTCCAAGAGAGTGCACGCCAACCTTCGGATCAGGTCTACCGCTTTCTCAACATACCCGTTGGCTTGGTGGTGGCCAACAGGAGGATTCCTTTCAACCGTCTTCAATCCCAGCCTCTGTCTCGCATTCACCACAGCACGCTGCAACGAAAGTGTAGCTGGTTCAGCATCACACCTCAACTCCACTGTCGCATGACCCAAGGATTGAATGAACCTCATCAGCTCAACCCCAAGGTATCGCGTGCTGCCTTTGCTCTCACAGGGTATTGCCGTGATGGCACCAGTGGCGGAATCGTGTGCGATCAGACAGCAAAGTAGGTCTTTGGCACTTGAAGAAGGTTCACCTGCTACAGGCTCAAGCTCGTTCGAGGAAGGGCTGAACCCGGTATAGCAGAAGTCGAAAGAGACGCTCGGGAGGTCTCGTGGTGCGGCATTTGTAGCCTCTGATCTGTCCGGAACAGATCGCATGGTGATGCAGTGACTGCACCACGCCGCGTATGGCGTGTGAGTAAGCTCGTGAATGAGCTGTTGCTCTCTGGACGGAACATCGGGGATTGATTGCATGTGGGGCAATCGAGCAGCTCCCTCTGAAGCATCTCGGGCGATGTCTGAGGCAAGTGACAACTTTTGCTTCTCAAGGCAACCCTTTATCCTCTGAAACAGCCTAGTCTTAGAACCGGAAGTTCTCAAACCCAACTTAGTGCAGGCTGCTTTCAGGGCACCAATCGAACTCTCACAGTTGAGCACAACGCCATCAAGGGTGAGCGTGTCAGCAGGCACAGCAACGGGAATGCTAAGAGGCTCTTCCATGTCGGGCAACGCACCTCGGGACGCAGGCTCTTCACGAATGATCACACCTGCATCGGGCTCATCTACTGGCGACGGTTCATAATCGAACAACTCATCCTCATCGTACGGAAGTTCTGGGGTCTTGGGAGATGGAACTACATCCTCAACCAGGCTCTCAGTGAGATTTTCAACTCCGAGCGAAGACATGGGTTCCTTGCTCACATGCATGCAAACGATCAACTCAGCCTCTCCACCTCCTGGGATGTCATCTTCAAGATCTTCCATCTCCAACCACGACTCACAGTGTTCGATCAAAAACCAAGCTGAGGTTTCACTTCGTCTCATCAAGGTGGAACGCAAGGGCCAGCTTCGATCAACCATAAAGGATGGGTCTAACATGCGTGACGAACGACCCCGCCAGCACAAATTCCCTGAGGTGAGGATCTGCCACCCGAAATGCAAGTTGCTCAACTCCGGACCCAACACGGCACGCTGAAGGACACGGACATGCGTGTCATCTGGTTGACACTGGGGACCTTTCGACTGGACGTGGGAACTCTGCGGATCACATGATTGCACTTGAGGACCTTTCGACTGGACGTGGGAACTCTGCGGATCACAGGCTTGCACTTGAGGACCTTTCGACTGGACGTGGGAATTCTGTGGATCACAGGCTTGCACTTGAGGACCTTTCGACTGGACGTGGGAATTCTGTGGATCACAGGCTTGCACACAAGAACTTGGACTTTCGGCTTTCTCAACCCGACGAATCTCGGCATCCACTCCAAGGCTCATGCCTCGGAATGTCATAGGCACATCGGCTCCTGAAGCATCATGGTTCAACCAGAAGCCTTGGGCATTTTGGCACGGAAACCAGCCCTGTTTGATCAACCGACCCATACTTATTAGCGGCTGCAATACGTCTGCGACGATACATCTCTCACGGATGGTAACATGTCCATGGCTTGGGCTTTGCAAAACGAAATCGACAATGCGCTCATCCTTCACCTGCATGCTACCACCCTGAGCATCACGCACATGCATCACGCAATCTCCAGGGGAACTGACTCCACAAGATGCAAAGCTCAAGGGGATGCAAGAAACGTCAGCTCCGGAGTCGATGATCACAGAACAGGTGTCACTGGTTCGGGTCAGTGCTCGCACATGCTGCTCATGGGTTCTGTTCGAACACCCAATCACTACCCAGTCTGAGTCGCCATCAGTGGCGTCCAACCGGAAGTGCTGAGCATGAATCATTCGCACGAAAGGGTCATCACCTGACAGGTCAAGCTGGCTCATGTCCATCACAAAAGGCTCGGCAATGACACGACGCACGGCTGTGGAGGCTTGGCTCGGGGCACTGCTATATGAAGGGCCGGCACTGGTGGAGGTGCCGCTCACAGAAGCTCCGGAAGGCTGTGGGCCAGGCTGGCCTTGGGACTGCTCAACCTGGTTGACACGAGGGCGCCAGCAGTCTCTTGCATAGTGGCCAGGACGGCCACAGTTGTGGCATGTGGTGTTGGAGGACAGATTGCCCCCCTTCGGTGCATTGTTCTTGCCTTTCCTATCACCCTTGCCACCTTTGCCTGGATTCCTGTCGCCTTTGGCATTGTTGTAGCTCTGAGAGTAACCTTTAGACTCTTTGCCTCCAGCCTTGCCATACTTGCCCTTGCTGTCATTGCCTTTTGGACCTTTTGAACCCTTAGGACCCTTAGGACCTTTGCCACCTTTGTACCCTTTAGGACCACCCTTAACTTGACCGATGTCCATTGGCTGCGGTTCCTGCTCGTGGGACTTCTTTTGCGCATACGAAGACTCGGTGCTGAAAAGGTTTGAAGGGCTCCACTTGAACTGCATGCGCTCATAACGAAGAGCTGCCTCTCTGATCTCGTCGTAGGAGGAGGTCTCCGTCAGGACGGTGGACAGGTGGTTCCGCATGCCGCCAGAAATGCTCTTGAGCAGTATCGAGGTTTTGAGGTCTTCTTCCAGCTTCTTGCCAGACGAACGCTCGTATTCCTCCATCACTCGCTCCAGATCCAACAGCTGGGCCAGGAACGGCTCGTTGGTGCGAAACGGGTGCGTCTGAGTGAGAGCGGTGAGGATGCCAAGCGAGCGGGCACGGCTTGACGGCTGGAAAAGTTGCATCAGCTGTCGTAAGGCCTCAGAGCCATTTTGTGATGGAACACGTTGGATCACTTGCAAACCTCTGCCACGAACCAATCCAGAAAGCAATGCATACATTCGTTGGCTCCTTTGCAAAGCATCAGGATCACTTATCCACCCAATCTCGGCTGTTGGAAACTGTTCGATTTTCTTCAAATCCTCGGCATAAGCAGTGTCCAGCGCTACCACATATTGCTTCAGTGACCATACCCATTGCAACCACTGCGAGTGCTCCTCCTCTCGAGTTGTCGGCTTGAAGGTGTCCGGCCGCGGCAGGATTCGGCTCATCTCACTTGAACCAAGGGAGGCCTTCGAAGAATTGGCCCTTACTGCCGCCATTGCAGCATCACTTGCAGCCTTGGTAGCAGCAGTCATCTGCTGCATCATCACTCGCAAATCATCCACAGAAACGTACACGCCCTGGGCTCCTTGACCTTGGCTTGTCGGAGAAAATGGATTTCCATGTTGTTGTGACGAAGCTGCTCCGTTTTCTTGCGGCTCATCATCATCATCGTCATCAATAACTGGAAGCTGATCTGCCATGTTCGAACAGTGAAAGATGCGGTCTCACACAGTCAGGATTTCGGCTTTGTACGGGGTACTCTGGCTCGTCCTGATCGAGGTCGATGGGGCTTGCTGCCGACTGCAGCTTCTTGTTGAACACCCGAGAGTGTCCTGGCGTATTGGGCTCTGAAGTGATAGACCCCACAGACAGGTCTCGATCCAGGTTCTCGTGCTCCTGCTGCAGGTGCACGAAAGCAACTTGCGCTGCCCAGCTCAAAGACTGCTCTTCGGCAGCCTCGAAACCAAACCAGGTAAAAGATTCGCGAAGGTTCTCGTTCTTCAAGCACTTACCACCAAATGCAAGCACTTCTTCGACTGTCGAAAACTTTTCCAAGCGAAGTTCAAATGCTTCCTCGACCACAGACAACTGCTTCTCCCAGCTCGCTTGCCTTCGGTTTTCAGGCTTCACCCGAAGAAACAGCTGCTCTCTGTAGAACTCTCGAAGTTTGTCTTTGACAGCCTCAAGGCTTGCAGCAGTAGTCGTGGTTGGCTCTTCCCGTAAAGCCTGGGAGGCCGCAAAATGAAACTATGGCAGCAGGCGCGCGAGAGATAGACACTACAGCCTAAATCCCAGAAGAAAACCCCAACAAAGCAAAGGAAAGATCAAGTCCTGGTCCCTGAACTCAAACCGCCGAAAAAACGTGTTTCGGAGTCTGGCTTTCCAGAGCTCCGCTACCATGAAAAAACAAGCGGTCTTTTCCACTTAAGTTTGGGCCTGAATGTCGCATCATCCGAATCATGCAATGCACTCCTGGCAAAACATGAAAGACGTGTCAAAGCACTAGAAAATCTGTACACAAGATATGCTAGGGGGTAAATGGTAAAGTTCATCAGAACCTCAGACCTTGCAGGCCATCACCATGAATGACCTGGAGGAGTGCGAGGCGCAGGCAAAAGGGGCGAAGGATCGTGAATCAGTGCAGCATGGTGAGAATCTTGCGCGGAAGGTGTTTGAGCAGTCCACAATTTCCTACGATGATGTGCTTGAGGTCATCATGAAGGCAGACATTGAACCACAGAAAAAACGCAGAGCATGCATTGAGGGAGTTGTTCCTCCACTTGAGGCGAAGGGTCGGGCGCAAGCGCGATGCGCATAAAGTCTGATGACCAAACAACCCAACAGCAATCACTCACAAACAGCATCGGACTCTCTCTCTTTTTGTGCAGGATGGAACGGACCCACGCGCGTCAGCAGCAGGATGCATCACCCAGCACGTTGAGCCGGGCGAGTCACCCCTCCCGCAGGCGTCCGGAGCAGCGTGCCCCCTGCACTCCGTTTCACCACGAAGTTCTCTCCGCCAATTTTTGTTTCTTAGAACTCTTAACCTTAGGACCCGAAGTTGCACGTACCAAAGACTTAGCTTCAAGGAAATCCTCGTGAGTTGCTTAAGCCGAATGGCGACATCCGTCCGCTGCAGGACGGGACCCACGGCATTGGCTTGAACAATCGTATCAAAATTCTCGATCGCTTAGAGATGCCGGGACCTGATGAGATCCTGGAGACGGTTGCGTTGGGACAGGAATCGAAAGAGGCAGTGTTTTGCATCTCTGCAGATATCGCGCAGGCTCGCCGCCTGACCAAGGTCCGTCGAGCTGATTGGGCCAAGCTTGGATGCAAGGCACGCAGTGAGGCGCGTACCGTTTGGGTAAATACGGTCGGTACCTTTGGGATCTCCTCTGCTGCCTCTCACTGGTCCCGCTTGTTTGGCTGTATAGGCCGTTGGGTGCACAGGGTCATGCTGACTGTTTGGCAGATGCAAGTCGCATAAAATCCATCGGAATGTCGTCCCAGCTCACCTTCACCCTCTGCTCACTGTCAAACAGTGCAAAATTCTCATTAGTCAAGTCATCCGCCTCGACATTAGTCTCTCGCGGCCGCCAGACCAACTTCATCTGAGCCCCGTGCGGCTGCAGAGTTGCAGTGACTTGCATCAAGTTGCCAAGAAGTGGCCACGAGGCAGAGGAACCCCGGGCCTGCGCCTGCGGAGTCGCCTGGTTATCCGTGCCACCAACCAGCACAGCATCAAACGTATCACCAAAGGCACGGGAACCCTCAAGCAACCCGAAAGCCACCAACGCAACATACGAGGCAAGAAGCTCAGCAGCCGTCGAGGCCCACTGCGATTCTCCATTCGGCTTAAACTGGCTTAAACAACCATGGTGCCTCAGACGGAGAAAGGGAAAGAGAGAACCACGGGGCCTTTCGGGGAATTCCTTCCTTGCCCAACAGCCAGCCACCTAGAACCACACGGTTCAGTGCACATTTGGCATCGGTGCGGAAGGCCTGGCGAGAAGCCCGCCAGTCTACAACAGGCCTCACCAAGCGGCCACGATCCTGCAACTGACGTCTCACGAAGATCAGGCACAGATGGACCAACACAGGCATTCGAACCGCTGTGCCTCCAGTAAGGTGTCCCCATACTCTGCCCACAGCGCGGGTTCCGTGCTAGGGATCATGCGACCGGCCCGTTCCTCCGCAGCAAAATGTTCCTCAAGCTTATCTGCCGAAAGCTCCGCGGACTCATAATTATTCATGATCTGCTGAAAGGGGTGATATCCAAGGTCCGCTCCTTCACACGTTCCCGGTACACCTGCGGCGTACGCGGCAAAGGAGCCTCGTCACTCAGCGGCACGCCCGTCGCAAAGCACTCCTCCCCTTGGGAGAGGCATGCCCAATCTGGATCACCCAGCAGCTTCAAAGACTGCGACAACAAGTGCAACAAGAAAGGCTGGCGCTCCGGGACCTGCAAAGCCAGACTCGGGTCTGGCAGCAGGTTTGCAACCTGCTGCCTCAAACGCTGCAAACCCTGCTCACTAAAGGGGGACGACTTCATCTTTCCAACAGCCAGCTGCAAGGCAGCCTTGCGCAAGTCACCAACCTCCTCTAGTACAAAATTTGGGAGCGCCCTTTGCACCCGCTCAGCATGCTGCCACTCTCCTCGACTTGAGAGCATGCCTCGCTGTTCCGGGCGCCAACGCCCTGGAGAGCACAAGCCGAACCCATCAACAAACACACGCCCTTTCGGGTGATTGCGGCAATGAATGGCCTGGCCAAAACAGCGACTCGTGGTCTGATCAAAGACATCACTCTCTTCCTCTGCCTCCTCCAATTCCGACATGTCCGCAACCCCAAGACTACCCGGCGGCCCTAAACCTGAGTGGGAGGAGGAAACCCCAACCGCAGCGGGACCAGGACCAGCCGAGCCACCGGGGCATCATTATGAGGTCCAGTCGCCCTTCCTTATCAAACCCTAGGTGCCCAATAACCTTAGGTGCAGGGGCTGTCCCAACATCGGCGACAGGACCCGAGGGCTCCGCTAAGGTCTCTGCTGTATCACCCCGGGCAACGCCAGCAGTGACCGAGGGCGGCAGCAGAAAGCCCAAGCGCAAGAGCAAGGACAGCGAGTTCGTGTCAAGAGCCTGCAGCTGGCGCACGCAGTAGCCAACGAGCACAACACGAGAGCCTCCAGACCAGGGTTCAGTCTGATGAAAGCATTCCCAGGCTCGAAGAACCTGTGGAGCCCGAGCGACATCCAGGAGGTTCTGATCCTGCTGCCACACCTGTCCATCCGAGAACGCCGAGAGGGCCAGTAGAAGATTTGGATAAGGTGCATTATGGGAATCCCGATGCATCTGCGTGGCTGCATCCACGAAAACCGCAATGGAAGAGAAGATCTGCCCTGGAAAGGCATGCCGGAGCAAAGGTAGGGAATTCGTGGCAGGACCTGCAAGGCCAACCAGCCCACCTTTGCAGTACGCCCCGCCAAAGAAGGCTTGCCCAGCCGCAGTCTGAGCGCTGACACGCGGGGCCTCCAGTGGTAACAGGGTGATCAGCGCTTCGGCATCATGCGGAGCGGGTGGCCTGTCCTGCTGCAGGAGAAAATCAGCAAACTGTTCGGCAGCATGCCGTTCCGGACCATCCGTGCCAAAGGCGGCAGAAAGTGCCGATGCAACCAAGCTTGCAAGAAAAGCACAAAGCTGGGATGGGTAAGCTTCGGCACCGACGGTGCGCCACTGGCCGGATGACCAGCCCGCACCTGGCCCGTGATGATGATCACACAGGTCCCATCGGAGGGCCAGGAAGACCCAAAGACCCGAGCACCGGGCAGATTCAAAGCCAAGCGAGTGGGTTTTGGAGTATCGGCGGAGTAATCGCACTGGCGAAGGCCCCAACAAGGGGCGTCGCCCACTGCAGTCCGGATCTGAGGCCATTGCCAAATGCTGGCTGGGTCATCGCCATTGGGCAGGCGACCCAGATCTTCTGGATGTTCAAGCAACCAGAAACGTCCCATCGTAGACATCAGCTCAATCATAGCTGCACGTTGCTCAATGAAGAAATTATGCTCTTGCACCAATGCGCGGCGCGCAGCAGACAACCAAGGAAAACCAAATGTCGGAGCCATCCGGCCGAGATCGATAGCGGGCGCGACTGAAAGTGGAACACGGAGGGGACAAGATTACCACATCCCAAGCGCCCGAACAAATCTCCTTTTCCAATGAATCCCAAAGAGCCTTTTTAGAAAGGTCAGACTTTGTTCCATCCCGACAAATGTCAATTTCTCGCAAGTTCAAAGTGAAACCCTGCACATCAGCCAAGCGACGCAAGTGGGTTGAAAGGTCTCCGTCACGAGGCTTGCCAGCGAACAAGTAAAGCACTGAAAGTCCGCTCTTCGCGCCAGTCCCGTCTGTCGCCCGCGAGGCACCATGATGCTCCATCCAATGCTGCCAAGTGGGATGTGGCCTGCCGCAGCCGCGGACCTGACAGCAATGCACCATGCCACAGCTCCCGTCGCAGCCGGCCCCACTGTACGCAAAACAGATGAGCCGATTGTCGGGCGTGCGAGTCACAAGATCACCGCCCTTGCGGTCCTTGCCCGTCTTGCCCGACTTTGCCTCCTTGCCCTTCCTGCTACCCTTGAAATCGCCCTTGCGAGTGCCTTTCTGCCACTTGTCCCAGGACTTCCCCCAGGCTGCGTCGGATTCGCCACCTGGCTGCCATGGACGTTTCCAAGCAGGCTCACTGCGACCCTGGAGCGCGATGGGCGACACGAAGAATTGTTCTTTCAACTGCGCATTTCCCTGAACCTCTGCCAGCGTATCCACCAGTGCACGCGACTCACGGAAGGCCTTCTTGACAGCTTCGCGACGCATCTCATATTCATAGGTGAGTAGGACCTGCCACGGAGGACGAAGTGGTTGCTGATCGCCCTTGCCTTTCCTCCCGACTCGACCTGCATCAAGTAAACCTTCTTGTCTCCCAACAAGTAGTTGACATAATCAAGCCACACTGCCGGAGTCATGCCACGGAACATGACCTGGTTCCGATACTTGCTAGCCAGGAAGGTCCACATGTTTGCCTCAACGCGCAAGACAGTACGGAGCTCCTCCGTATGAGCGGGGTTCCTTTTGCCTTCTGGCGAACGATACGAACATGCCCTGTCGTGTCCACGCTGGTTTGAATGCCCTGCGTCTTGGCCCGCTTCTTTGAGATCACCTCCGACAGCGGTGAAGCGGACACTTCACCTGATTCGACCTCCTCTATCTTGGCTGACAAGTACTCCTCAGAAGGTTCGTAGGTTTCTTCAATGGATCCATGAACGGCCTCGAAAGCGGCGCGCGTGGCCTGCTTCTCAGTCTGTGTCACCGGCCGCACCACTCCTAAGACCCGCGCCTCTGCTGTGAGAGACGCCTCCTTGCCAGCATACTCTTTGGAGGCTTCCCACGCAGCTACCACGGAGGCCACCACGGCCCGGGAAGCTTGATCCGTAGCATCCAGGGTGTGATCAGTACGAAGGGCGGCCCGAACTTCAGCCCGTGAATCCGCATAACTCGCAAAGCGCCTGACAGTACGGAAGTTGATGCTCAAGCGACACTGCAAAGGCAGAGGCACCTAGCACTCCTGGAAGATATGCCGTAGATCCGACGCCACCTCCACGTCCAGATGCCTCAACGCAGCTGCCTCGTCGACGCCATTGGGGTAAGCGAGTGGACCAGCCGCGCCTGCAGCCATGCCTGTTGTCTCACTAACCGCAGTATAAAGCACAAACTCAAAGGAAAATTTTTCAACAACTACACCATGACTAGCGATTAACCCTGATTCACGTCACATTCCAGCCATCCCCGTGACTGCACTAAGCTACACCTCAGTCCCTTGCACTTGATCACATCGGCACATCTTTCATTCGTGCTCTCAGCGAGCAACGTGCCACTAACATTCAACTCAATCATTCCAGCCCTACGACTGCAAGCAAAGTGCAAGGACCAAAGACACTTTACGACCCAGCGTGCAAATCGCCATCCGAAGCACTAATCTAGCTTGAATCATCCAACTCCGGAACTTCCACCGATCCCGGAGGTTCTCCCTGCCCGTCATTCCCCGGCGCCACAGAATCTTCTGACCCACTGCTGGAAGACTCCTGCGCCGATGATATCTTAGGCTGGCAGAGTTTGCAGATTGCGTCTGCAATGCCCTCCGAGATGCTTGACACTCCCACAGTCTCCACGCAGCGCTCTTGTCGAACTGCGCAGGCCTTTGAGAGATGCAAACGGCGGAACCCAGAGCGAGAAATTGTCACAAAGAAAGGCATGTCCGGAAGCGAAGATTCTTCTTCCCCAGCATCTTTCTCATCTGCAGGCAACTCTGCTTCCAGGCGTCCACGCGAAATCTCATAACGTTCAGGACCCACAGCCAGCAGGGGATGAATGCCCCCGAGCTTCCAAGTATAATCGGTCCACTCGAGGACCTGATGCCACGAAATCACTTGAACGCCATCCTGCCCTGATGTGTCCGCAAACGACTGGATAGATTGAAAGAGCTCTCCCTCGATCAATCCACCCTCTGCAGTTCCTTCTACCCAGGACTTGCAAACAAAGTTCTGTAGTCCTTGCACGATCTGCCGAGCAGTTGTAAGATAATCCAATGAGCCGCCTTGCGAGCATCTCCAGCGACCAAGGAAATCGCACTTCGATTGCTCAGCACCCAGCGAGAGTGCCCACGTTGGCAAAGTATGCTGTGCAGAATGGCCTGTCCAATACGCCGCCACCGACCCAGGCAAACAGCCGACCCAGGCAAACAGCTTCGTTGCACTCGCTCCCCAAGTGCCCTCGCGACACAGGGCACCCGAAGCTCCTTATGCAGTCGACGCAGAAGTACAGCCAAGTCCTGAGCCTCGACATACGAAAATCCAGCATTCCAGCATTCATCCATCGCTGGACATAAATAATCCCGCACTGCCAGCCCCGTCTTCTCTGGCTGATCCAGCATCCACTTGCCTGACCAGTCTCCGCTTGGGCCTTGGTCTGGAGGAGCTGGAGGGCTCAGCTGCGCTCTCTCCAGCTTCCCTGTCGGCCGGCCTGTGGCTACCACCAGAGTTGGCCGCCATCGATGCAGTGCCCATGTGGTCTGTAGTGGCTGCATGCACCATGTCTCTCCAGCGGCGAGGGTTCGGCACTCCTGCGATGTCATCAATTGCCTCGGTGTCATCGGAGTTGGGCGAAGGAGGCTCAGCGGGGTCATCGGCTCCATCGCTTGCCATGATGTGAAACGCACCCCGTGGTGGAAGAACCTCCAGGAGCTAGTGATGCACTGGGGTGTAGAGCCCGAATGCACGATAAAACACGTTGCGAATGCAGGGTTGTGGTCTGGCGTGCTGATGGAGGCATCCAAGTCAATATGCAGGCGTGTGTGCCGGCACAAGAACAGTCGCTTGCTCTGGCCTGCTGCATCAGCCCATATCTCAGTCGGTAGGACTGATAGGGAAGGCCATGACGTCACCTCCAACTCAGTAGACATGCGTGTGCGAGACACTGGCTGTGGCTGTGAGGGAATGGCATTGCAATGCTCTGGGCCGCCGCACCAGGAGGTGAACTGCATTAGTATTCCCTGCTGCCCGTACAGAGCCAATACTGGTATTGTCCGAGGGTGGGTGGCAGTGTAACTGAGCGCCTGATCCTGAGGGTATGCCAAAAGACACAGGCACCTTTCCTGTGATTGCCGTGACAAGAGCTGTACGGATCTAGCCTTTGAGAGCAAACATGATACTGGCAGACCCTGGAAGCACACAGGAAGTCGCAGTATTTTCAGACAAACTGTGACTGGGAGCCAGCAATCGGAGTCAGTTGTGGTAGAAGGACTGAAACTTGAAGATGCTGGCATCATGTGGCCCCGTGCTGGCGTCCAAGTGCATCCATCTAGCCTGTATGTCAATGCAGACCAGGGGCACTTATGTAAGCAGGCACGAGAATATCTGAGTGCAGGACCGTGTGGCCCAGTTGACGGGCGGGTCCGCAGGATGTTTTGCAGCTGTGCCATAACCTGGGCCTGTTCAGTCGGATGCAATGAGTCAAGCGCAGCCTCAACTTCATCGGCAACTTGCTCTTGCCACAGTCGTGTCGGGGCGATGCTTGTGGTGGGACTGGAAGCCTCCTGCAAGTGCCGAGCCCTCACATTTCGACTCTCCACTTGAGCTGTGGATATAGTGCACGTGCCATTGCCCTGCTCGGGAAGGTCATTGGTGGAAATCTGCGCCTGCTGAGCCGAACGTCGAACAGTGGAGTCCCGCAAGACCAATGTTAGTCGGATTTTGTGCTCAGGTTCAGACTCAGCAGTGCCACTGGCTGTGGAAGGCTTACTTTCGCGAGCAAGACGTGGGGTCCGCTGGGAGGCCCATGCAAGAAAACACACTCGTGTCCACTGTCAAAGGCAGGCGAACTCCTTCCAGCCTTGGAACACCTGTGCCAGCATGCGTACCTGAGCCCAGGTTAGTGTATTTCGGCTCGTGCGAGAAGGAGAGCAGAAGCTATGGCTCAGCTGCAGACGAAGATCCCGCACAGCGAATACAAGCGTGGAGCCCCGCTGAGCAAAGTTCCAGAGCCGGCTCAAGACAGGCAGTGGGGCTTGGCAATCCACTGTGATAGCTGCACAGTCAGTGTAAGAGTGAGAAGGTTACTCCATAGGGGCAGTGTGTGGAGTGCAGAAGCCTCGCTTTATACCAGCAGAGCCAGGAGTGCAGGGCTTCAGACGGTGGTCGGATATCTGGGTAGTCCTGCAGGGTAGGCATGGCCAGAGTGTATGCAGCTGCAATATGCCCTGCATATTCCGAATGGGTCCTGCAAGGGAGCGGTGACCGCATATCCCAAAGGTTCGCAGCCTGAGCGCAACAAGCTGGATAGCAGCTGGCATATGCATATAACTGTGGAAGGCGGCAGACATTGTGGGGGCCCTGCCGGTGGTGCGGTGTCCGCCTACCCTGGCATATCAAGGATGGATCATGATGAGGTGAGTGCCAGTGTGCAGGTGGCTCTTGACATGGTCGGTGCAAGGTTGATGCGTATACCCGCCTTGGGTGCGGAGCCCGCAGACCCACTCGTTGCTCTCGTCGGACCTGGGCACAAGGAGTGGCGGACATGGTACAACTTACATGGGTACCCTGAAGAGGCCACCTATTCTGCTGCCGCCCGGTGGGCGGCGGGTCGCCCTGGTGGATTTCCTGCAATTGAGGGGGGCTGCTGCTAATCTGCCAACGGCATATGTGAATCGTGAGGTTAGACTGGTTGTAGGCCCCACCTCTGGCTCGAAGGTGCAAGGGCAGCGGTAGTGGTCTCTTCTTGACCGTTGGTGGCGTGCTTGGAGCCGGACCGCTACCAGCACCAGTTGAGCCAGTGGAGGCGGCTTCCGGGGGGGTAGTTCCTCCATACACCAGGGCAGTGACTCCTCCATACGGATTCAGAAAGTGCCACTCTCCCGTGGTTTCGCATCTCAGCAATCCCGGTCGTGGAATGTCCCCTCCAGTAGGCTGCTCCACTGTACCCAGCTCTTGTAGTTGACGTAGCGTCACAGGGGACACCGCCTGCACATCGTCCTGGGCAGCAAGGTTGGCTGGTGCAATGCCTGTTGTGCTTGTCGCATCGTTGTCCGTGCGAGCTGAGGTTGCCATCACCACTGGCATCGCCGAGGCCGAAGAGGAGGAGGTCCCCTGAGTGGCGAGCTGATTGCTCGTAACGCCAGCCTCTGATCCAAGCATCGGCACCGTGACCTGTGGAGGAAAAAGAGTAGCCATGTCAGCATCCTGGGAGATCACGAGCTCCAGTAGTGCTTCATGCCGCATTTGTTCAGCAGTAAGAGCCGCTTTGGTCGGGGCCAAAGCTGTTGGCGGGGAAGCCTTGCTCGTAGGGGCAATGAAGGTGCCAGGCCTCGCTGTGTCTTCATCATTACCAGCTTGCGAGGTTCCAAAAAGCCACCAACATAGCACCAGATTGAGCAGTTTGCAGAACACTCGGCCCATGGCTGGCTGCAGTCTGCCCGAAGCAAAGGGACAAGGACCGGAGGAAACCCCAACCCAGGGGAGGGAGAGAGACCCTCAACTACAGCAGCACAGCTACAGCCCTTTCTACACTTCCTGCTGGGAGCCTTGGTGCATGATTCACTTGAGGGAAAACACACAGGAACCAAAAAAACCCGAAGCGTTCTCCCAACAAGCACTGCATGACCTAACCCTAGCTGGACAGAGGAGTCAAACCCAATCCTATATCCCAACCGGGAGAGGTTGTCGAAGAGAACTTGTGGCAACATTGAATCAAGCCGCTGCCTTCGTTCTTCAGTACACTCCACAACGGCACGGTCGTGTTCGAGACAAAGCGAAACACCCAAAAGCTTGTGCTGCCCTGCTGGCGGCTGAGCCTTGGACACCTTGAATTTAACGCCCAAGAAGGCGCTGCCCATCGCCTGCGTCCACTCAAAGGCTGCCAAAAGCGTCGGACCGCTTGGTGTGTGCATCACCCACGTGACATTGGGCTCTGCCACAGGAAATTGTCTGTACGCGGACTCATGGTCTGGACCCCAAAGCTGCAAAACAAAGGCAGTGATGTCATGATAGACCGGAGAGTCAGGAACACCCACACTTGAGTTGGCTCCAGAGCTACGCCAATCCTCTGCTAACAGGTCCAGGACGGCAAGGAAACAGCCGTGGCACTCCAACACTCTGGCATGGAGAAAGGTCCCTCCCATTCGACCTCGCTTGACCGCGGCAATCTCATCGGCCATCATCTTCCAGTTCTTGTCCACACGTGCACGCCACAACTTGACGAAGTCCAAGTTTTCCAAGAGAAAGTCCTGAATCGTCACCGGGCTGTCGTATCGGCCTCACGTTTCTTTGCAATTTTCGACAGCCTTGGTCACAGCCCTCCGCAACTCTACAGCACCGCAGAAATGTCTCCACACTGGAAGCCATTGCCGGAGACCCGGTTCAATTTGCGGCGCCTGCTGGGCCGGGCGCAACCACTGCAGCTCGATTCAGCAGTTCTCTGAAGCTTCAATCGCAGAGAGGTCGACTGCTTCACGCAGAACTGGTACGCCTGGGCCATTGAGAAGGAGCTTCCTTTTTTCAGAACTCAAAGCATCAGAGCCCAGTGGGATTCGGCTGCTCACGTTGCTTCCGTCGTCGTTGACAAGATGCGTGAAAAACCGAAGGTCCCTCTGGTACCTTTTCCCTTGAAAGCACGAACCCTGACCTCTCACACAAGTGCGGACAGCTCTCTCTTTTTCACAGTCAGAGCCACTTGAGCCAAAAGTCACGAAGTGCACAAACCAAACGAATTCTCTCTTGTGAGCTTAAACTCAGCTTCAGAACGAAGTTCCTACACACTGCACACTCACTTTAAATAGCGTATTGGGCAAAAACACACTCGTATGATTTCCTTGGAAATCAACGAGGCATAAACCATCGAGGATGGGATCACACGGATTCCCAATCACTCCGAAGCAAAACAAACCTATACAAGCTGATCCAAAACATGACAAAAACATCACTGATCAGCCACAATCTTCCACCCCCCGCATTTTGCTGAGGGTTCATGTCAAAGATCTGAAGTCCAAGCCCAGCTCGGCACTTCAACACTAAGGGGATGCCCTGGCCACATTCCCTTGGTGCGTACTCGCCACCAAACGAAACAAACAACACACCAGTCGATCTCTGACATCAAACTTAAAACTCATGCAAGATCCCACCATCAGGCAGGTTGTCCTGGGTCCACATCACTGGTAACCCAAGAGTTCGTTGTCCAAACACGTGAAAAACGAATTAAACTTGCATCCACCTGCACTGGGGCAGGGTTGTCTTGGAACGAATCCAAGAGTTCGTGGTGACAAACACGTGAAAACGAATTAATGCAAGCTTCAGATGTTTCCCACTCAGCACTCGACCTTGTCGTGGTACTCCTCCTCAGTCTCGCATCTTCCAGGTCACCAAACTCACCAACTAGCATCGGCTAGCTGATCCTTCAGGAAAAGATTGGCTTCATAGTTTCGCTTCTTCCAGCGTACCATCAGCCAAAAACGTCTTCAGAGGTGGCAATCAGACGCCTTGCAGAAGGGGCTATAGAGTCCCTCGTTGAGTTTCATCATCATTTTGCCTCCTCTTTGCAAACTTCTCATGCACTGAAACAAGGGCTCACACTAACCAGAAAAATCGCGGGCGCTCCATGGCGGCAACGCGGCCATGGCTTCCAAAAAAAATGGCTGCGGGTTTCACTCACCCACCCAACCACTGAGATCACTTAGCATCTCAGTTCATTCTTCATCCTCTTCGCCCTTCTTCTCGCCAGCTCCAGTTGACTCCATCAACTTGGCGCGGCGCTCCTTGGCGGCTTCCTTCATCTCCGCCAACTCAGCCGTCCTCGTTTCCATCACCACATCCTGCGAAGATCGGCTAGGCTCAGCTGGCGTCTCCGCAGGCCTCTCAGTTGGCTGGTCTCCAACCTTTCTCTTCTTCTCTTCCAACATCAGCTCCAAATCGGCAACACTAAAGCTTGCCTTCACACGCTCAGCAATCTGCGCGATAGCTGCTGCATCCAACTCAGATGGTACAACTGACACAGGCGAGCGAACCGCTTCGCCTTCCAGCTTTGCTCTCTTAGCAGCTTCTTCCTCGGCAGCTGACAGGTCGGCGATGCGCTTGCGCTTTCGCTCAGCTTCCTCGAACTCTCGGTCTTGCTGTTCCGCTGCAGCCTTGAGGATCCGCTTCAGGTCCTTTTCCTCCTTCTCGAGTTTCCCAACATTCTCACCCATGATCCCAAAGGCTTGCTGCCACATGTCGGCAGGCAACGTCAAGTTGAACCTCACCACATAGTCGGTCGGCAAGTGCCACTTACACTTGCAGATCCACACAACACCGCTTCGAGTCTCACTCGCAACCACCTTCTTCCAGCTTGCCGCCCTCTGCGTGTCGGTGATCTCCTCTTTCTTTTTCTCCAGGTCCTCCAAGAATCCTGCAACAGACTCCATCACGGATCTGTAGTGGCTGTAGGCCACAAACGACCACTTGGGGATTGGTCTCTCCCTCAGCTCCGGCTCGTGAATCCGAAGTGTATCACACGACAACATCGAAATCACTCGCACTCGCTCCACCAGTTCCTTAAACACCAAGGATCCTTCCTTTGCACTTCTCTTCCAGCGCAACACCCATGGGGGATAATACGAGCTCTCAGCTTCATCCTCCATGATCCTCTCTGCTCCCAAAATGGGTAGCATGCACAACAGATCCACCATCCGCAAGACTCCGAGGTCCTGGTGCTCACCCAGAAGCAAAACAGGGATTATCCCTTTTCTCTTCAAGTACCTCACGAAGCTCAACATCGCCAGGCCACACGTTCCCGGCGGCACTTCCATGTACAGTCCTCCTTCATTCACTGCCATCTCCCAGATGATGGCCTTGCCACCAATCTGTCCACGGACATCCAAGATTCCGAAGATCTTCGTGGGTTTCTCCTGTAGCTCACACACCTCCTGGATGGGCTTCACCAGCTTCTCGTATGAGCTTTGATAGCGCAACATATCCTTGTCGGATAGCGTGCCTATCACGTCCTTGAGCTCTAGCTCATCCACTGGAGTTCCGCGCCGGCAGATACTCCATGACACATCACCGAACCACTTCGGCGGCTCTGGATCCGCCAGCTCCGGAAACACGTCGACCATCCGTTCAATCACCTTCGGCATGGCCTTGGGTTTCGGTGCAGCTTGGCCTGAGCCTCGGCTTTCACCTTTATCACCCCTTTTTCCAGCAGCTCGGCGCTCCTTCTCTGCCTCTCGGAGATGGAATGCATGGCTTGCATCCGTGCCAGAGACTGTCACAGTCTGTTTGCACTTTTCGCACTTGGGCTTGCCACTTTCATCCCAGCTCAACCCGGCAGCATGCTCGGATCTGAACAACCATTTGCAAACCTTACACCAAAAGGGGCTTTTCATCTCAGCACCCTGCTCACCCTTCCTGCTGTCTTCAGCTGCCATTTTCCTGTCCTTCACCAAAGGTACAGGCTCCAGGCTAGGGCTAGCTTCCGTGGTGCTTGAACCAAAGCTTTTGCGGGTGGACCATAAATCCATTTCTTGAACCTCAGGGGAAGAGTCTTCACGAAGGGTTTCGGGACTTCTAAGGTGGAAATTTTCAAAAACTTCACCACACTTTTTCACACTTTTCAACGATCCAACTTGCTCCACACTGCATCCAGTTGCCTCGGCACACTGGTATGCCTGAACTCCAACCCTTGGTCGGATTCCACAGATCCTCCACACCTGCTGCACATCTTCACCAGGGTATATACCCATAGCTTGCTGGTGCTGACAGAATGTCACTTGACTCAAGCACTTTGTAAGAACGTCAGCGATCATTCCCGCTGTCGGGCACCAAATGACCTTCAAGGTCTGAGCTTCCTGTATCCGCTCCTGAAGATAGCAGACAGCGATGTCTAAGTGGCGAACTCGCCTACTCAACCCACGGTTTAGCAAAACCGCTCTCGCTGAGGAACTGTCAGTGTGCAATCGGATCGTGACATCTGACTCGGCCAACTGACCGATCAAAGTCGCAAGTCCCTCACTCTCCTGTACCGCAGTCAAGATGGCTCTCAACTCGGCTTCACAAGAACTCAGCGATACACACCCTTGAACTCGAGAGATTCCCTTGATCAGGCATCCTCTATAAAAGATGGCTATGCCCGACACAGATCTTCGTCCTAACGACGCTTGGGGTGCCCAACTGGCATCCGCATACACTTCCAGCTGCGCCGGCCCACTGTCCGGTACATTCCCATCAGGGCCAAAGTACTGCCATGCATGGTATTGTCCCTTTAGGAACCTAATCACTTGTCGCAATGCTTGCTCAAAGCATGCTGTTGGCTTGGACTGTCCTTGCGAAAGAATGGACATCCACCTACTCAGGTCAGGTCTCGACTGACCCCACCATGCAATCCGGCCAAGTACTGCTCTGTACCTCGCAGCTGCAGTGTCACTCAACTCAGGATCCGAACCACTTGCTCTGCCCTTCTCGACCGTTTTCACGATGTCCGGAGGAGCAGTAACCACCTTCAGGTCCTTACAGAACTCTGTCTCGAACAGGGCATCTAAGTATGCCGGGGGCACTCGCATCCTGAGATGACTCCCTTGTCTCTCAATCTCTCGCCCCAAAAAGGTGATCTTTCCACCAGTGGAAGTGATTCGACCCGTTTCCTTGATCTTCAACTCTCCGTTCAGGGTGTCGGTCACCAACCGAATGGCATCTCTAGTGCCACACAGAATCAAATCGTCCACATAGCACAACATGAGGAATCTTTTCCCTCTCACAGTGCCCTCGAAGACGGAAGGTTCCGTTGGGCATTGCTTCAACCCAACTTTCTTCACAACTGTCGCCAGCTTCAAGTTCCAAGCTTTGGCGGCAACTCTCAAACCATTCATGGCTTGATCCAGAATCATAAACACCGGGACATAATAGTCCTTGCAGGCGGAAACATCCTTGGGCAATTGGATAATCGCCTTCGATCCTTTCGGAAGGGGGGAATGCAAGAATGCAGTGCTAACATCCAAAGTTGCGACATCCATAGCATCTACCGAAGCAATGGCCAAAAGCGTCCGTAACGCTTCTAAAGAAGGAGTCGTAGCACTCAGTCCTAAAGATGATGCTGTGCTCCCCTTTGCGATGTCTTGCACCACACACCGAGCTCTCACAGCTTCCTTGCCATTCACCACCTTTGGGCCTATGACCCATCGGGTTGGGATGATCTTTATCCCATGCTGACGAGCAAACTTCTGAGCCTCGTCTGCTCCAACCACTCTCCCTGCTTTGTGAGCAGTCATACTCTGCAGCTCAGTTCGCCGGCCTTCCACTGTTTTATCCACATCTAATGGACATCCATCTATCTCAGACAGAACACTCGTGGGTCTTGCCAGCCAAACTTGGGATCCACACACCTTCATGGACTCCGGGAAAGTGCTATTCTTGTTGAGCAGAATCGAATTGGTCACATGTACCAACTTCGGACTCTCGTCACTGCTTACCATTTTAATAGGACCTTGAGGCACATCGAGTCTTGGGTCTAAA